TGCTGTGTCAGTCATGGGGGTCGTTAGACCACACTGGTCAGTGTTGGTTGGTGAAAATGGGGGGAGGATCAAGGACCCGTTCAGATATCACTCGTCGCTGATGCTCACCATGGCCCAGAATCAAACTCTGTTTGCTTGGTTTATAAACGCACTGCGTTAACCACCCCGGCACATTATTTTTTGTATTACCAATCTACATTGTTAGAACAGAAGCTACATATGATTACATTGCAACTGTATGAGAATAATGGTGTGCAACACAGTTAAGGAGCACTTAAGTGTAGAAAAATGGCAGGCACAAGGAACTAGGCTGTTGGTGGGTTAAAGAACTGATGTTGAAATCTTCTGTCATGGGTTTTTTTTCCCCTTTGCTAGGCCAACGGTTTCCAAAGTCTCTAGAAGCCAGTCTCGTTGCGTGCGTTGGTGTGAGCTCGGAAAAGGAAGCTGTAGACATTTCCTGCAATGTACTCGATTCCTACGTTCAGGTTTGAAAAGCAACACACATTCTTTGCCAATAAACCACAGTAATGCAGACATGAAAAAAATGTATCCTGTTTATTTCAATATCCTGCCCAAAATTCAGACTACCTAATATCTGCCAATCCTACTGATTTAAGCAGGAATCTAATGATGTTTTTAGTCTCACCACCGCATAGCGGTTTGCAATGCAAAAATTGTCAACGTTTTTGTAAAAAAAAATTATAAGGTGCTTTGATCAGCTTTGAAATTCGGTTTGTGGTGAAATGGTTAAGAAATTGGCAGCCTTTTGCTTAAATTGGTAGGGTTGGCAAATACACCTAATTGTAAATTTTCTTATTTTAATTTCTAGTTCCTTTGTATAATACATGCAGTAATAGATTAATGCATTTTACGAGTGGAAGTTTTAAGCGAGAAGGGGAAGAAATCCAATTTAAAATAAATCTGCCAATGTAATAAAGCACCACAATAATATATTGTTGTACTACAGACCTGAATTAATGATGATAAACTAATGAAGAAATATTACATGGCCTGTTTAGCGATGTACGCTTGAGAACAAATGAATTGATAATATACCGCGTTGGCAGAGATAAACGTTGCCTGCAGGTTATCAGCGTTAATGCATTTGGGTGTGGTCCCCATAGAGTTACGCATTGGAGGTAAACCTCATGGCCAGCTGTACAGTACATGGGCTGGGGATAACCAGTTTGGAGATCCCAGCCTGCAGATTAATTCAGTTATTGATGTTTAATATGCCGGCTCATAGCTATATGTACACATGCTGGTCCAATGAACTTGCTAGAACAGGAGTGTGTTACGTCTACTTGATAGGTGTGCATACTTAATGTGTTGACTAACAGGAGGGGAAAGAGCACACTGAAAGCTGATACTCGTTTCCTGAGACTGCTGAGCTGATGTAAGCTAAGGCTACTGAGCTGACACAAGTTTACTAAGGCCATTGAGTTGATGCAAGCTGACCAAAACTACTGAGCTGATTATAGCTGCCGGAGACTGCTGAGGCAAGTTGACTTGAGTCTACTGAGCTGTTACAAGTTGATCCAGAGTCCTGAGCTGATTCACATTGGCTGATACAAGTTGACTAAGACTCTTGAGCTGATACAAGTTGATTAAAGAATTCTAAGCAAATGCACGTTGACTAAGCCGATTAGGCAGATGCAATTTGCTTGAGACTTGTGAATATTTTTCATAAGCCACGCATACCGATAATTTCATGCACTTTATTTGTATTCCATTGTAATGTTTTTTGTGGTGATTAAACATTGCGCTCATGCTTGAGACTTAATGCAGTTTGTGGCCACGCTGCACCGTGAAGTCCATGTATGTCTCTCCATGCAGCTGCGATTCAAGATTCAGGACTACACGCTGACGGGTTGTGCTGTGGACCCACATTCCATACAAGTTCAGCCACCAGTCAAGCCCAAGCTGATCACCGGCAAGCAGCACACATAACAGGCGCACACGTGCCCACTCCGTGGGTGGTGCAACCAACCATAACTCTTTACAAAGTCTCAACCTTTAAAAAAAAACCTGTTGATTGTTTTTGATTGTTGTTTTTTTCTTTTTCAGCAAGAGAACTCGTCTCCGCAGAATACATCATCTGGAACAAGTTGGGTGATGCGCCTATTGCCTACAGGCCCGATGCCTATGCTTAAAGGAAGCTTCCCACCCTCAAGCTCTTGTTCTTTCATTGGCAAACGGGGGCTTCAAAGCACAGCACGAATCAGTGACTTAACAGTAACCGCATAGGTTTATTTCTCATCCCGCACGCCAAGAAGTCGGCCAGCCTGTGGGTCTTTTTTCATATTTGTAAAGTGACAAAAGGAAAATATGGAGCTGTAAATAATGCCTGGGCTCAAGCCTTTTCAATTAAGTAACTGCGATGATTGTGAAGATGTATTCTTTGTTTGTTTATTAAAAAAAAACTGACGTAACTATTGTTTTTCTTTCGTGGGTTGCAGCCGAATATTACCGGAGATTGAACAGTTGAGATGTTGGGATTAAGACACATTGCATTTCTACAATGGGCTATATACATCGCACTACTCAACAATGTGTATTGGAAGTCTGTGACGCTTATGTTTAGAACATGTTTGCAAAAGTATCAGTTCACGGGAAAGACACTGAAAAGGCATCAAATCACAGAGTAGCGTGAACATTGTCAGTGTATCGAGTGAACCAAGTTTTTGTAACACGTAGGCTTTCGCGACCAATATCCATAATAAAGTTTTTTTAGGTTAGATGACGTAAATATAAATGTGTCGTTAAACCCGCCACCACCCGACAGCCAATCCGTAAGGTTTGCACACTCCAACACACCGGTGTGCTGTACTAGTAACGAATTGGCATGTTTTGTTTACGTGACAAACCTTACTAATTGGCTGTGTCGGGTGGTGGCGGGTTTAACGACACATTTATGCGATCTAACCCGAAAAAAACACATGAACCCAGTTTTTGCCATGCGCTCATGTGTTTTACCACTCAAATATCTCTGATTAGCCACTTCGACGAGCTGTCATGTGTGACCAGGTCGCCTCTGAAAATAGCTAATAACTCAAAATAAAGTGGTGTTATTGAGCGCAGGTGGAAACTGTAGTCTTCAATATATTATATCTTGTCAATGGGAGGGATTCTTAAGTTGCAGCTTGGTAAAAAAAAAAAGTGGTTTTGCTCCTGTGAAACATTGTGGCCAATTTTCTCAAATTCGTGTTTACTGAATGTCATCACATTGCAACTATTACGTGAAACATCACAGCGTGTGTGCGTGAAAGCTGGTTACAGGAATCGCGTGTGTACGGGGTAACAGGAGACCACAGCAACGTGGCCGTGTCAAAGCTGGAATGGCAGATCAAAAACAGCAGTCTAGGACTTGTGCGGAGAGGGGCAAAGGAGATCATATAACCCCCTACTTTAATAAACGAGGAGGTATACGCATTGTATGGATGCACGTTGAACTTCTTTCCCACCGTACGTAGCCAACCGTGCTAATCGAAGGTGTGGGGGAAAATCCATTCGGTGAGCACTGCAGTGGCAATGTTGCGGAGCCAGGATTTTCAGGTAGGGGGGCAACCCCTCCAGCAATGAAAAATTGTAGGAGTTGTTAGTAAGGACTTACTCTTTGGTTCTTTCGGTAAAGTCACGTAGAAAGAAAATAAATGTAATAGAATATGACGTTTCGATTGCAACACAAGCAGTCCTCAGGTAGAAAACAAACTTGGTGAACTTCTAAATTTGTGTCTCCTTGTCTGTGTTTTGTCTCTCAAATTTAGAAGTTCACTAGGTTTTATTTTATACCTGATGACGATTGCTTGTGTTGCAATCGAAACGTCGCATTCTATTATTAAGTTTATTTTCTTTCGTCGTTACTTTACCGAAAGAACCAAATAGTTAATTCCTGCAGTCACGAAAGCTTCAAATCAAGTGAGGACTTGTGTCCCCTTGCTTTTTATTCGACGCGCGTGCGGCGATGGCGCAGCTATCGATCGAGGGTCGAATTGGAACCGCGTTGTTAGTGATCGGCATCGCGCTCGCTGAAGGTGTCGATGCCTTCAGGGAAGTCGTGGACTCTGTAGACGCAACTGCGCACGATTCTGAGTCACTTATAACCGCTTTGCCGTTACTTATTGCCAACTATCGTCTCGGAGTCCCTGGCACATAATAATAATATGCCACAATGGCAGTGGGGGTCGTAAAATGTCGATTTATTACTAAAAACCCCAATGATCCGATCGAAATTAGGGATTCCGATCGGATCTTTGGTGGGGTGGGGGGGGGAAAGCTCATCCAGCAGTGGATTGACATAAATAGCTGCGCATTTTTGGCTGGCCATCGAACAGACGCGCTTGTGTGGCCGTCTGGAACGCTCTTCCGATATTAGGAAGAAACACTGGAGCGATGCACTTCCGAATCATCTCGACTGAAAACGAATTTCTTTCGAACCGCTTGCTGTGTTAGGTGCTGTTGTCCTTCCCCGGCACCTCCGTCGAGCGCGGTTTGGCCACGTACGGCGCGAAAGAAGTTTAACGCCAGCCGCTCGCGGACGCACAAAAAGAAGAGGAAGAGAGCCACACTCGGACGCAACAACCAACCGATCAATGTCCAACAACCCCCCCGTGCACGGTGTCAAATTCAAACGTCAATTTAAATGTCGACTTACAACTTTCGTGACTGCAGGAATTCATTATTCTTGGTTCTAGTCACGTAAATAGAAACCCCCCCCCCCCAAAAATAACAAAATTTAAACAATATAATTTAAATAAAATCTTCCTGCCTGACGAAGACCGCTTGTGTTGCGATCGAAACGTCGTGGGTTTTTTTGCTTTTTATTATTTTGAATTTATTATTTTTATTTTCTTTAATTTTATTACAGTTCAATTTTATTATTTTTATTTTATTTTTTAGATTTGTTTTTTTTTCTATCTATTTCCGTGACTTCACCGAAAGAACCAAGAATGTCAAACGTCAGTGGACCGGCGCCGCGACTTCGTTCTCAAGGACGCCCTCTCTCGGCTCACTTCACTCATTCATATCGGCGGCGGCGACAGCGGCAGTAGCAGCGGCGGCGGCGGCTTGCCGCGTGGCGCTGTCGCTGTGGCCTTGCCCGCCTCGTCGCTCCCCACTCACAACGGAGACGTCTCTCGGATCGGCCGCTCCCCAGCGATGGACGGAGACGGCGTGAGGCAGAGGAAGAAGGAACAGGCGACGAGGGTCGCAGCAGCAGGAGGTGGTGGTGGTGGTGGTGGAGAAGGAGGCAAGCCGCCAGAGCAGACGGAGCGGGGAAGCGCGCGGATTCTGCGGCCCGGATCTCTGTGGGCCACGCGGGAGCTGCTGCTGCGGGCCCTGGCGCTCATCTACGGTCAGAGCCCTCGCGGACCGAGCGTGAGACAAAGTCGTGCATTGGTGAACCTCTTTGCCTCCCTCCACGACTAACCCCCCCACCCCCAATCTGGGCTGACGCCCCTCATCCGTGGACGTTGACACGGGAGTGGCTCGTCTCAAGCCCCGTGCACCCTGCTGGGTCGACTCACGCATTGGGTGCGTGAGTCGACCCGTGCGTTGTGAACTCCCCTCGACACCACCACCAGCCACATATCTCTCTCGAGTCTCATGCAGCAGGCCACGCTGAGACAGCGTGGCCCTTCATTCAACAAGCCCCGTGCACACTGCTGTGTGGTCTCACGCGTTGGACGTGAGACTCCCCTCGACACCACCACCACCAGCCACATCTCTCTCTCGAGTCTGACACCTCCAGCAGGCCACGCTGGGACGGCGTGGCTCTTTACTCAACAAGCCCCGTGCACACTGCTGGGTGGTCTCACGCGTTGGACGTGAGACTCCCCTCGACACCACCACCACCACCAGCCACATCTCTCTCTCTCGAGTCTGACACCTCCAGCAGGCCACGATGGCTCTTGGCGCACTGCTGCTGGCTCGCACGCTGCCTGCGAGTCGAGCCTCTCACGTCAGCGACTACTCACGCAAATTATCGCTCACAGTTGTGAAAACTTCGTGCTGCTAATTTGTATTCGTGTTCAAATTGGTTCGTAGATGCAATGTTAACAAAAACACCCAACCTGCCCTGTGACGGGCGAGCTAGGCTGCATTGTTGTCAATAAATGAGACCGTTTGCAAATGTGAATTGTTTGTATTCGGACCCCACAGCCCGAGATACATCATTGTTTTGTTTTTAATGGAACAGCTATCGATCCTGTCAAAACGTCAGAATCCAAAGTCTCGCTATACGCAAATAAGCTTTAGGACTGCCCATCTATCCTACGCAGTACTCTTACATTCATGATGCCCTGTCGTATGTCGTCTCGTTAGTACTGCCCACGTCTGTCATGCATACCGTCTCATTAGTCCACTATTCTTGTGTCGTTTCTACCGCATCTACAGTCCCAAAGGGTGTAATGGAAAAGTAATCATAGGATTACCAATGTTAACTTCCCACAAAGTGGTACTTAATGTTATCGACCACAGGAATGATATTGATGATGATCCCGAGACATCCTCTGGATAGGGCGGTCCCATCCATCAATATTTGTACTAAAGTAATTTTCCCACTTCAGCACGATACTGTGGTAGACGACACTTTTCATGACGGCATGGGTATGTTTCCAGCGTCCACCATCCGTTATCTTTCCCGACGGCACCTTTTGCAGTCCTTGTCAACAGTGAGACATCCAGGACAGCGAAATGGTCACAGTGATCGATAAAGATGTGGCAAGCGTAAGACGAAGTGCAAAAGTTCTGCCGTGGTGGCAGTGTGCGTTGATAGGGCTTGGGTCGCTGGCAGAAAACGGCTGAGATCCGGGTTTAAGCCAGCCGAGATATAAATAAATGATGTCGTTGCTTACTCTTTGGTTCTATTCGGTAAAGTCACGTAGGTAAAAAATAACACAACAAAAATCACGACGTTTCGGCCACAACACAAGCGGCCTTCATAAGGTGAAGGGACCAGGCTGTCTCGAGGACAGCGCTGGAGTGAAACACAGCCACGCTCAGACCGCGGACCTTTAAGCTGTCTGGTCCCTTGTCTGGTCCCTTCACCTGATGAAGGCCGCTTGTGTTGTGGCCGAAACGTTGTGATTTTTGTCGTTTTATTTTTTACCTACGTGACTTTACCGAATAGAACCAAAGAGTATGGATCCTTGCAGTCACGAAAGCTTTAAATCTAGATGTGGTTGCTACCGCGTTGGTAGTAATGCACGAGCCCAAATAACCAAAATAAAAACTGAACACGTTTGTCATGTGCTACGCAGAATGGTCATTGCCCGAAGCGTTGCCGATAATTGCGTCCTTTTTCTTTCGGGGCAGTGTTATTGACGGATTTGTTATTGCAAATGTGGTTTTGGTGAAGCGTAGGTACTCTCCCACTTCTTTCAAGATGTGTGACCAGTGTGGACAAGTAGGTCAAATTCCCTCTCGATTGGATCTCTATATCTGTACTCGAGGCCCTTCCACGAGCATTGGCGTCAACGAGAAACCTCCAGGCCCCTGCACGTTTTACCGTTACCTCATGTACTGACTACGGCATGCGTGTGTGTCCCTTGGATCCCAACTGTGGGGAGCGGTAGTGTAGCGGTTAGCGCTACGCTGCGCTACGAACCTGGCGAACCGGGTTCGATTCCTGCTCACGGCCAACACCGGTGTTGATTTTCTGAACCGCTCCTGGGCCTCCCCTAGTTTGACTCAGCTTCAAATGAGTACCTGGTGCGGTGCTTAAACATCGTCACTGGGGCGACAAAGTCGGCCGGGCGTGGTGTTGGCCACCCACCCCCTCGTGTGCCGTGCCGGCCTTCACAGTTGCTCGGTGACAGCGCTTGCCCCAACAGTCTGTTAAGGCTATACGGGGGATCTTTGTCCCAACAGTGGTGGCATTTTCGGTGGCACTGCATCAGAACCGAGCGCTCATCGGCGACAACGGCCTCCTGCCGGCGAGCCTCTACCTGCGACGGATGCTTCGTTACGTCGGCGGTGGCCCTGTGGGCCTCCAGGCCGTCGCCCGCGCGCCCACGCTGCTGTGGCTGGCATTGGACGAAGTCTCTTCGCTGGACTGGGCCCTGGATGCCGTGGCGTGCGCAGGGCTGGCCCTGGCCGCGTTTGTGGCGCTGACCGGCCGTGCCAACATGATCGTGATGGCCGCGCTGTGGATGCTTTACCACTCGCTCGTGGCGGTCGGACAGATTTGGTGAGTCTGCCTGGGTGGTGGAGAGGGCTGTGGAATTTACCGCAGTAAGTTTGTTGAAAATCCGAGATGCCCCGTTACCAGCTGGAATAATAAAGGCTGAGTTTGTCACTTTTGCATTTAAGACTTTCCTAGTCTCATGTGTTCTCACCTGGTTCTCATCTGGTCAAACAATAAACTAAACTCATGATTTTTGGAGGTGTAAACAATTCACTTAACCACCCAGTTATTTGATTCATTGTTGCGATATACAGTCATGATTTGATTCAATAAGCTTTTATTAAATTGTTGCGAATCTTGCGTCGCTAGTGCCTGCAAAAGTCACATGAATAATTGAATACAGCATTTATGAATAAAAAAACATTAATTCTTTCACTGTGATTTTATACATGTACTGTATTGCGATATTAATTTATGCATCATTGCACCTCTAATAAATAGAGTGTGTATATATAGCAATTTCTATTAGATTTTTATTGAATCAAGTGCAAAGTGATTGTATTTTCAAAGATGGTTATAGATTGAATATTATAATGAAAACATTCACTCAACACAAAATGCTTAAAATATTCAAGCTTAAATATGTATGTCAACACGTTAAAGAGGAGTGCAGTGACACAACAGTTAGCACAATGTGCTATGATCTCAGTGGCTTGAGTTCGATTCCTGGTCACGTTTAACATCATTGGCGAGTAATATTGAAACAAAACTTGGGTCTCCGATTTCACCAACTCACATTGACCCCATGTGGTAATAAAGGATGGTCACATAACCTCCATAATTGACATGGAATGGGCAGGCCTTCATCCAAAAAGTGGAGTGACAAAGGGCTGATTATTTATAATACTTCACACTATATTTGCACGTGCCTCTTTTAAATATTAACAGCGTGATATAATTTTTTGTAAAGATCGTTGGTAATGTTTGCTATTTTTTTACTTGAATGTGTATCTATTTCTAATTTTCAAAATGATCTTGATCTCTTTCAGGTACTCCTTTGGTGAGTGATACAAATTTTATATAACTTTCATCTACAGTCAAAATTGAAAGGTAAAGTTTCCAGGTAACTTAAATGCAACGTTTTATTTATTTTTCTTTCAAAAGTTGGCAATTTCTTTAATATAGATTATTTTATCAGAAAAAAAATACAACCAAGAAAAATAAAGAGCTCTTGTCGATGCATAGCTATGCTGTGTGTCCTGAGCTGTCTGAAATAAGTTTGAAGCTTTGTTCATGAGTAGAAAAAACGTACGCTTTAGTGCGTCATTATCACACTCTAATGAGATCACATTGATACTTTTTGATGTAGGTGCAGTGCCATCACTGGTGCCAGACGACATAACTTTTAAAGTTTTTTTCCGTTTATTGGGTTGCCTATAATGACCGGTAGCTGGGGCTTGTGTGTTTTGCAGGGTGGGAATCTCAGCTGCTGGAGACTGGCTTCCTCGCCATATTTCTGTGCCCGCTGCTGTCACTGAAGCAGTACCCACGTGGCTCACCACCTTCACGTATCGTCATATGGGCCTTCCTCTGGCTCATATTTCGAATCATGCTCGGCGCTGTGAGTCCGATTAACACACTTCCTTCTGCTGCCCGTACAGTAACGCTCATCACTGCCACTGGGACGGTGACATGGCTTAGCGGTGACGCGTTTGCCGCTTGTTGCAGAGGGTTCTTGCGGTTCGAGCCCCACGGCCTCCCTGGTTAATGTTGCGGGTCAGTGATCCCGTTACGTTATTGGAAAAAGTGTAAGCCATGTGTACTAGTGTCAAATTTGACAAAATTGCCAAATTCGAAGAAATTATCATAACATTTACTCAATTAGAAAGATGCGTAACAACGTCGCCCCCTCCTGTGAAAACTAATAGTCTTGGGCAAATGAATGTTACATAAGAAATTAATAACATTATTGAAACCCTCGAGCTATAAAGTCGTTAAACCAGAATACGCCGCTAAGCTCGCAGTTTCCAGATTGAAACGCATTTCAAAAATCTATCTTTCGATTTTGGACTTTTTTGAGATTCCCGTGTACAGCAATGAAATCTGTTTAGATTATATAACGCTGTGTGTTTGGCAGTGATGGACTCTTTTCGTGTGTCAGTGTTTAACCTGACTTGAGATTTATTCAGGTTCTTAAGTTGCGTGCGTCACAATTTATGGGCATAATCTCAATTATTGCCAGCAGGGACGTACATGTGAAGTATTAATATGCGAGTACGGTTACATAAAAGCACCTTATCAATGCCGTTGTTAAGTCGTCTGTTACCGCAACAAACCATGTTTTTCAGGGTTTGATTAAAATCCGTGGCGATAAATGCTGGCGAGACCTCACATGCATGGATTACCACTATGAGGTAATGAATGCCTTTTTTCTTGCCTTTTTTTCCTGCCTTTTCCCCCCCCAGTGTTATTCTAGCTGTGTTGTTATCATAAACATTTTCAATTCGGAACTCTCCCAGCACAGTGCAATGCTTCCGAGATCCCTTCAAGTGACCTCTTATTCACACTAGGGGTGCTGTGTTTTTCCCACATGCCCTGCTGTAGAAATGTTCATTGCAATGCAGTCAAACACATCTATATATTTTCATTTCCAAGGACTGACTTGCCAAATGGAATATAAAAAAAAACTAATTTAATAGGAGGGAGTAGTTTTTTTTGTGCACCCATTGGTGAGTGGAATGAGACCATCAACCGCTTATTACAAATTCATTTTAATTTCGGTCGAGGCAATTATTGCAATTTCAAAGTGACGAGTTCAAAATTGACCATCTCAGCCTCACACTGATAATACCAATCGTAATAAGAGTTTAAGTGATGACCCAATTGCACAATTATCTAAAACCTATTTTTATATAAAACATCACCTCACTAAATATTTGTTATTTTTTTTAGCAAAAATGTCCTCTTAGTTCGTTATGGCCAATATACATTAACATAAAACTTTCCATCGACATACTGTTACTGAAAACCAACAAAGTTACTTCATCATACCTGTCAACCATACGGCTTACCCGTATTGTACAGGGATATTGATGTTTCAGGTCTATACAGCATACGGCCATTTTAATACGAGCAAAAATTTAATATTTATATGTATTTGTTTGTGTTTCTCCCTTGTGATGGGACTTTGTAGGATGAACGTTGAGATTTATAAGAGCACGGGGTGACCAATACGGTCTGAATTGGTCTGTAATAAAATAGGCACTGATAAGGGGTTGACAGGTATGCTTCATATTAATTTTGAGAATAATGATGTAGTCACAGCCAAGGGATGGAACATGCCAGAGAATGCATCCATCACAATTGGTGTGCAGATGCTGGGTGGATTGTTACATCGCACGACTCTTGAGAGATGTATGTATGTTTGTTGAACTTTTTTCGCACCATGCGTAGCCAACCATGTTAATTGGAGGTGCAGAGGAAGGACAACATACCGAATGCAATAAGCAGTTCTAAAAAAATTAGTTTTCCATCTAGATGATTTCAAAGTGCATAGCTCCAGTAGCTTCCTAATATCGGAAGGAAGAGTGTTCCAGATGGCCGCAGAAGTGCATCTGAGAGTGGCGCGCGATGCAGTGACCGTCTGAGAGATGGCGATGGAATGGGGGCGCGTCATGGCGGGGTGAGCCTTAACCCAGCAGTGGATTGATCTTTGCTGATGACGACAACGACAATGACGATCGTGGTGATGTTGTTCCTTGGTGTCTCGACCAGACTCAGCCGGTGCCAAACCCCGTGGCGTACTATATGCACCGCGAGCCAGCGTGGTTCCACCGCGCCGAGACGCTCGCGAACCACTTTATCGAGCTCGTGGTGCCCTTCTTCCTGCTGCTCGGGCGTCGTTTCCGTATCGCGCACGGCCTCCTGCAGATCCTCTTCCAGGTGCGGACCTGCGCTCGTCACACGAAACGCGCACCCTGAAGGGATCACGGGCCGAGGGTCCGTACCTCCGATGAGCGCGGTCGGCTACGTACGGTGTGAAAGAAGTTCAACATACGTGCATACATAACGATGGACTGCTCGCCAAGGAAGGGGAAAACATTGCTGGGAAAACTGTCAATGAACCCTTTGCCAATACCATCATGCCTACAAATCCGGTTCCCTTTAAATAGATATAGGGGTGACTATTATATTAAAGGACATTCTATTTTTGGTCAGTACTTTAATGCAATGCTTACCGAGGAACTTGCTTCAGAAGGGAGACTGTGAAATAAACTGGGTCGTGCCATAATCATATTTTATAGAGCACTCAGTGCGACGTTGAAAATGCATGAGGTGGCTCAAGGGGCTAATACGGAGTCAGAGCACTGAGCCTGGACCACTGAGAACCTGGGTTCGAATCCAGGTAACCCATCTGAGTGGGCGGTGTCAGCTCCGGCGCCAATGACTGCACAAGAAAACGGTCATCATTCGTTTTTTTACGTGAACTTGGCTCTTTGCAACTTTGAAGTCTAAACAAAAAATGTAGTTCGTAATTGCTGTGTGACGACCATTTGTGTAGTAGAGCACATGGTAATTTGCACTGGGTTTTTTTGGGGATAAAGGGCAATTGAATGGACCCCTGAAGTAAGTTTTAACATGCGATAGAACGTGATGCGTTTAAATGTATTCATATCTCATCATGGTCATAGTGCAATCGGAATATAATTTAGATGAAAAAGCAAATGTTTAGTAAAAAATGCAATGCTCTAAGATAACAAAAGTGGTGACATTGTTGTCGCCTGATGAAGCTAGTTGTAATTACTGGCGAAACGTCGTACGCGGATTGTAAATGTTGTGGCGTTGCTGTCCAACACACCGGTGTGCTGTACTAGTAACGAATTGGCATGTTCTGTTTATGTGACAAACCTTTGGCTGTGTCGGGTGGTGGCGGGTTTAACGACACATCTATATATTTACGCGATCTAACCCAAAACATCTGTATCATGGAAAATTACTTTCCTGCATAAAAATTTGCTTTCATTTGGTCAGCACAAAATATGCTCTGTTGGCCTATCAGCATGCTCATTCGTGACTCTGGTTGACTTCGAAATGAACTCATCACGGTGATGTGGTTTTCATCGTCTCTTTGTCTCGTACTAGGTGGTGCTGATAATCAGCGGGAACCTCAGCTTCTTAAACTGGCTTACCATAATACCGAGCCTGGCCTGCTTCGACGACGCGTCTCTGAGCTTCCTCCTGAGCCGGTCCAAAAGGGAGAAGTTGATGGCACTTCAGGCGGAAGAAGAAAAGGATAAGCGACCCCGCAAACTGGGTAATCCTGGGTGCCTTTCCACATGCGTTTAATTTCAGCAGTCGTCAATCCTTTGCTTATTTGTGGGGGGGGGGCCCAATAGGAATTTTAAATGCAAATCGCCGCTGAATTGTGATGCTGCCTTGGCAGTATGGTGGTGGACAGTGGCGATGAACAAAATCTCAACATATTCATCAATAACACTGCCCTAAAAAGGAACATATATATGTATACGATCGGCAATGTTACGGGCGATACCCCTTTTTCATAACAGATCTTTCAGATGTCACCGAATGACGAATGGGTTTACAAACCCTTTGGCAGACCACACATAAGCTGGTACTAAACTTTGAACACGCGAGGACTTTATGCATTTCCTTTGTGCTCAGATGTACTTGAAACACTGACGGAGCATGCTAAAGTTCTAAACGCAGTGTTGCCAGGTTGAAACTATTTATCTCTCGTGCCCAATTGGTGTGGCTAAGATGCTTGCAATGATGATAAATATCACTGCTGCGCATAGGTTTTCTCATTTGTGCTGTATCTGATAAAAAATATATATATAATTTGTGGGCTATTTTTAAGTCGTGGGCCTTACTTGGCTGCAAGCCGTACAAAATAAATATGTTGACCATAGCATCACCGCCGCCCCTGGTTTAATACATCTCGAGCTTTGTGTACATTCAGTTATACATATATATTTTAAACACGCGATTTCACGTGCGTATCAATGAATCTGTTCAACTTAAAACGTTTGAACGTTCCTTCTAGGTGCGCTGGTGCGCAGTTGCGTGCATGTGCTGCTCGCACTGCTCATCGCGTATCTGAGCGTGCCGGTGGTGCACAACCTCATGAGCTCCACGCAGCGCATGAACTCCTCCTTCGACCCGCTGCGCATTGTCAACACCTACGGCGCCTTCGGCAGGTGAGCCCGCCGGCTTCGTGCGACCGAGCAACGCGGCGCTCGCCTGTCTCTTGTGTTCCCACGAGCGAATTGAATTTATCACGAGCTGCGTGATCCGATTGTATACGCACCTCACTATCCCCATCCCCATTGGCTCGCTCGTGCATGTGCGCATGCGTGCGTGCCTGCCTCTCTTGGAACTGTTCAAGTTTGTTTTTGTTTAACCAGGTGAGAGCTCAAGATAACAACACCAGGGTACTCTTGATTTGCAGGAGTGGCCTGGCAAATAAAACTCGTAGGAAAACAACTGTGTCGTCACATGAGATATCGATAATATTGCAGAAACGTAAATCTAAGTTAAACAATAAATTAATTGTCGGGGTAAGTCGGCTCGGGCAGATTTTTTTTACTTTTCACAGTACAAGAAAAATTCAGTTACAGAAACATTAAACAGATATAGGGGGTGACTATTATATTAAAGGACGTATATATAATGATTGTATTGATAAAGCGCCCTTCATCAAATATCTCAAAACCGCTGTACAAGACGCAAGCAGCAGACCCTCAGCACGGCGACAACTAACCAAAGCGACGGTCAATACATGAAAGTAATCTTAAAAAACGTGAACGCGTGTGTCGTGCGCGTGGCCGCCGCCGGCAGCATCACCAAGGAGCGCACGGAGGTCGTGCTGCAGGGCACGGCCAGCGTGGACCCGGCGGACGCGACCACCGAGTGGGAGGAGTACGACTTTGTGTGCAAGCCGGGCGACACACGCCGCCGCCCCTGCCTCGTCTCGCCCTACCACTACCGCCTCGACTGGCTCATGTGGTTCGCCGCTTTCCAGGTGCGTTCGGCCGCCTCGCCCAGGAGCCTTTTCGACTGCCCCCTCGGCATTCGTCTTCACTGTAAACCGGCTTCCGCCTGCTCCCTTGAAAGCTGTCTCTCCTCCCTCGCCCATCCTGCTGCTACTCCCTGTACCCGCCCCCCAGCTATGACCAGGCCTAACCCAACTCCTATCCCTATCACTTCCCCTACCCTTATCACTACCCCAAGCCCTATCACTACCTCAACCCCTATCACTACCCCTACCGCTACTCCCTGCCCCCGCCCCCCAGCTACAACCAGCTCCACCCCAACCCATCCTTAACCTCTCTTAACTGTCACCAAAACTACACCACCACTTTTAATAAACCGCACTCTCAACAACTATCATCTCCTGTATCATTTTGATCATGGCTGTAAAGCGCCTGGGAATAAAGCACTGCGTACATCTAGAGGATAAGTTGATGATGATGTTCCGTTTACTGTTTTCACAATATTTGTTTTGTTCAAAACGTGTTTTTGCGTTGGCGCTGTCGTTTCTTTATTAGCAAGGAAGGGCACGGTAACTCTCGTACAGATGGTTCAAAATGGACAAAACTTTAGCATAAAGTTGTGTAGATATTTGGAACTTACCCTTGTGAAAACTGGCCAAATTGATCTAAGAGTTTGCCAGAACCTGGAGATAGAATGCAGAGCAAAAAAAAGCACAGTTTTCAAATATGAAAATGCATTTTGCCCTGACAGCTTCCATCGCACTGATTAGATACTTCCAAGGACGAATCCATTTTGGAAAGTTGCCATGATCTTTGTGTTGTATGAATTCCATGACTTGCCTATTCTCTGATATCATTTTAATCAAAGTTAATTAATGAATTTTAAATGATAAAATATACTTCAGAACCCTCGAGGAGTGTTAATAATTAGTTTTTTTTAATCAATGTTATGAATTTATTACTTGAAAAATTAATGCATACATTTGTCATTGTAATTAACTGTGTCCTTGGGGTATACATTATATGAATGTGTGGCCATTAGCTGCCTCGCCAGTTTGCCTCAAATAACCCCTATAAATTTATCTGGGGCATTGGCAGAGTAGTTAGCGCTGTGTGCTATGAACCCAGAAGCCTGGGGATCGCTCCACGCACATCAGTGGCGAGCAATGTCTGAACCAACCTTGGGCGCCCCCTTCAACAATCCACACTTTACTCAGCATGGTGAAAGTATGATGAAAACTAAAAATAAGAACCAGTATCAACATTGCATTGGAAAGCCTTCATCCCGTATTGGATTGATTAACCGCTGCAAATCAATGTTATTATTTTATTTGTATTATTATTTTACGCTCAACTGCAGCGGCCATAGTAAATCCTCAGCGAATCAAAAAGATCGGCAACACGTCAACGCCGACGTGAAAGCGTTGCTCGATGAAGTGTTTAACGAACGCGGCGTTGTCCCTGTTGCTCAATAAGACGTACGAGCAGAACCCCTGGCTGTTGCATCTTGTCGGGAAGCTGCTCACCAACGACAACCAAACGCTGTCTCTGATGGGCAAGAACCCCTTTGAGGGTCGCGACCCTCCCCGGTGAGTGGTGACCTTTCTAAAACCCACAGCCACTTGCCTACCCCTTTTCCACTGTACTGACTGAGCCGTGCCAGGGCCGTACCGAATCAGTCTGGCCCGGCTCAGGAGGCGCCAAGGTTAAAATTTCCGCTGCAGACGCCGTGCCGTGCTACTGGCATCGCAATAATCGAGTCGGAGACGTGTGTAGGATGGCGTGGAAACGCTGTGTTCGAGTCGTGTACTCGCACGTCGCACGCAATGAACACCACGTCGGCTCGCTCGCGATATACACATCGAATCGTGTGCATGAAAATTGCTCATTTACAATGTATGCAAATAATAGAATAATCTGATACTCGGCCTCATGAAAGCAAATCTGTATGAACGAGATGTAGAAATGAATGAGTTTGGAAAGGAGTTTGGTAAAAACGTTCGCCAAAAAAATTCTAGTTGATCCATGTTTCGAATCACCCGGATGATAGTATCCCCGTCCCATAGCGCTGGCTGGACAACCCCGAAACCACCGTACCACGACAAACACCATCCCATTACCGCAAGCTGTTAACGACGGCTGCGAGGTAAACCTACCAGCAGGGAGAGGCCGCTAACACCGTCGCCTTGCAGGTGGATAAGGGCGCAGCACTTCCGCTACCAGTTCAGCGAGCCGGGGAGCGCCCGTGCGTCCGCCGGGCACTGGTGGCAGCGCAAACTCCTCGACCGCTACCTGCCGCCCGTCAACCTCGACTCGCTCGCCGCGTTCTTCCGCGCGCAGGAGTGGCCGCATCCCCACGCGCCCCGCAATCAGCCCATTTAAACGCCGCTGCGCTCCTCCCGTCGTCGCTCCCCAAAGACAGGGAAAACAACAACAAAAACGAAGCACGTTTGCAGTGCGCAAAAAGCCAACGATGTATGTTCAAGTTCTTTTGCGCCGTACGCAGGCCAAACGTGCTAATCGTGCTTCGCTTGGCGACAGATGTTTGGCTGAACGACGGAAGGGTGGCGGTGGCCGGCGAGGCTACAGGGAAGTGTGCGCCCACTGCTGTCGGTCTTTCAGCTTCGTGCTGCTGCTGTGGCCCCGAGGGTGCTTAATGACATTAGCGTGTGCCGGCAGGCCCGCGTGACGTCACATGTCCCGTAATGTTTTAACGGCGCAGCGTCACGCGTGCAGACGTTTACGACCTTTGCGTGTCTCCGTGACGTCGTAACGTCCGCACACGCGACCAGTAATCTGCCCCTCTCTCGTCTCAAGGGCTCTTGCATTGCTCTTGCTTATCTTGCTTTCATTGCACCATTATCGTCACCATCAGCCATGGTCAATCCACTGCTGGATGAAGCCCTCCCAAAGCTGCGCCCGCCCCCTTTCGCAATCCTGCAATCTAATAATCGTCGCAGCACCTGCTCGACACACGAACTGATTTCCTGTCGGACGCGTTCCATTCCTTGGCTGCCACTGCTTTACTATCCGCGGCTGCTCTTATCTCACAAATCTTTATACCTTGTCTGGAGCGTACTCATAACTTGTTTAATATCTCACCTTACTAATCTGTCACTCACTGTTAGTTTACCATATCTCTCAATGGACCACATTTGACTTATGGGCCCCCAGTTCAAGAAACCTTGCCATATCGATCATTGGGGATCATGGTGTTGTTATTGCACTTATTCGCCTTGTTATTGGGCACATTTTACACCAACCATATCCTAATTTAACACGGCCATGGGCACTTAATACGTTCATGGGGGGGGGGAAAACACCTAGTTTTGATGATCATTTTGGGAATGTTTACTTTGTCCCACCATGTACTGCGCATACCAAGTCTACTGTACTGAGTTATTCTGTAATCGGAAACTTTGCACTGTGAAGACAGGAACGACGATCGATTGGGGGAGGCCATCAAACAATTACCTCTCGGTTCTCCATGGGTGGATTATCTGGCTTGTGGATTGACCGTCATTGTAAAAAAATAAATATCTATGTACGCACCGATTCTATTAACTTTCCGCTCATCGAGGGACAGTGACCCGGTTCTCACTCCACCACAAATATCCATAAGTAAATGCAAACACGTGGCTTTAATTCAAGAAAAAAAAATATTTAAATAGCTGAGTGATGTGTACGTCACGTGTTTTCTGCCCTGCCGTGTAGAAACATGAGTTTGTTCTACTTCTTCACACGACATTCTACTTAGGTGAATAGTAAATACGTTTTACGGAATATTGTTTTTATTTATCCGAGCCATCATTCCTCTCCCATTACCTCGGAAAATTCAGAGTTGGCTGCATGATCAGGCACTGCGGAGCTTGCCCCGACACCTGGCTAGCGAGTCACATTTAAAGAATGTGGAATTGGTTTATTTTCAAGGATTACAAGTCTGGAAAGACTCAACATTACGTTACTTCATTGTATGTTTTGGAAGTCAAACTATCAAGTGTTTTTTTTTACCTTGTGAGAACTCAAGAGACTAGGATAGTCTCATTTGCAAAGTATGTTTCACTCTGGGACACCTTTTGTTGAACTGTTTTTGCCGAATAAAACGATTGCCAATTTAACGTTGTGTTTGCTTACAGTCGTCGCAAGTGTGTGTTCCCAATAAACATCGCAACGTTGAGCCAACGTTGGGCCAACGTTATAATGTGTTTAGAACCTTTTGGACACTATCGGCCCAACATTCCATATTTTCTGGATCGAGACTGAAGCTTTACTTCACGGGAACCCTTCTACTCTGGGCAGGAACAAGGGAGAGTGAATGGGTAGCAACAAGGGGTCATTGCCACAGAGAGGCGAGGTGGTCCACTCGTGTGTCTAAACGAGACGACCCAGCAACACGCGACCGATGGGCCACTGCCGGTACGTGGTTCGGTCGGCAGGCAACGTTTTTTTCCCAACATTGGCCTAACATCCTATTACGTGCCAATAATGTTTTATGCAATACCAAAAAAAGCACTGCTGTATGAATAAAGATTTATTTTGTGGCTCCAAATAAATGTCAATTGGTGGTACGGTGACCATCATAAGCGTGTTTCCTTGAATAATTGCTAATTGTGAAATATGCCGTCTGAGCGACGCCAAGTGTATCAATTACACACAACTCAGTTGTGGATTTAGATAAAATCTAAAATAAATTTGCAAGCGAACAACTGTAAATTATATCTGAAATGAATGCCTGAACGTGGTCATCTTGTGTGGTTGAGCGAGCAAACTAGGATGAAGGGTTCTCGAAGTATACATGACAAAACTCTAAAGCGGAGGTGCAAAGAGAAGGTATGAGCACGGGTAACGGGTGCACGTAGTTGGTCGCTGATATCTCCAGCGCTGGCGGAATATCACGGGGCATGAACGTGGTTTATCGGTTCTTGCGGGGCCAAGCAGATCGAGCCCTCGAGGTACCCGGCTTTGCATCTTTGGCAGAATCGAGGACGGCGCTGCCGCCGCTGCTGCTACTCCCGCCGTCGCTGCTGCTCACGGGCGCTGGCGCCTGGCCGTTGGCACCCGCTGCCTTCACCTGCATCTCTTTCAGTTGCCTCTTGTGGTCGCGCTGGTTCTCCATGATGAGGTGCACCTTCTCGCTGATGTGGGCGAGCATCGCTAGGTTGCTCTGCTCCTGAGCTTCTTCGCCGTCCGAGCGGGTGGAGCATTCCCTCGGCTGCTCGGCTTTGAAGCGCTTGCCGTTGCCTGCCATCGAGGACGCGTTAAACATTTTACGCTTTTCGTCCCCGTCGAGTCTGCCGCCGCCATCGACGAACCCGTCGGCGTAGCCGTTCGACTCCATCTCGTCGATGGTGATCTCCTCGTTGATCTCCTCTTCGACGATTTCCTCTTCGGCGACCTCCTCGGTGTCGTCGTCGCCGTTCGACCCCAGCTTGGTCGCGGAACTGGCCAGGACATGTGCGGGGGGACTCGCCTCGCCGTAGGGTCTTTTGTCGGTGGCCGCCAACATCGCAGCGACGCACGCCTTCACGGTGGCCACCTGCGTCTCCGACAGCGACGCTCTCCCTGTGGCCTCGGCGGAGGTCCCCTGCCTTGCATCGCTGCCGGCCGATTGTCTGCTGAATAAAGTGCCGACGACTACGTTCCACGCACTGTGTAGCTGTGCAAAAAAAAAAAACGGAACAGTTAATTGATGGGGAAACTTGAAACTATTCAGCACGTTTCTTACTCGGATAAATAATGCGCAATGTGAATACCGTGTCAACCCATACGGTTTACCCCCTATTCTTGTACAGTGAAATTGAGTTTTCAGGTTTTTACGGCGTACAGCCGTTTCAATACGGGCAAAAAAGTTGGCTATTTGTTTGTGTTTCTCCCTTGTGATGGGACTTTGTAGGATGAACGTTGAGATGTATAAGGGGGCACGGGGTGACCAATAAGGTCTGAATTGGTCTGTAACAAGGGAGGCACTGATAAGGGGTTGACGGGTGTGAATGTGTGAGTACTGTATTGTACATTGTCGCATAGCGGACCAGTTGAGAACAGAGGTATAGGCGGATATGTGAAAAAAGGTCAGATATGTGAACATCCATAGCGAATAAGAGCAACACCAATGCGCTAATTTAATACTGCACTGGGTGTGCGCGGTTAACCAGCAATGTGTGGGGTAGAATCATCTTCCATTCAAACACGTCCCACGTGTTACTGCTTCCCATTTGAGCCCTGCGGCCACTGGAGGCGCTGCATTCACGACGAGGTTAAAATAATCGATTATCGAATCGAAAATGCGTCGACTCTGGAAGCAGGAGGGTCGTTTGCAATGTTCATTTAGAAGACGTCTCGAAGTCCCGTTTAGGCTGATGGACCTGATTGTGAATGCTTTATGGATAAACTGCCGTGCGTGTTGATTTAACAGCGTTCAATGAACAGGCATACCCGTGTGTAACCTAGTTCCCCATCCTGCACCCAAAATAAACCAAACCAAGCAACAGTCTTGGGGACTCGGTAAACAATGACGAGGTTCAATCAATGACCTTAAAGATCCACCCTTCGCCGTTCTCGAGACGCCTGTCAGTCTCATTTGGGGCCTTCGCCCGGTTTAAATAACAACAACAAGAACAACAACACCAACAACGGAACTTTTACCGAACTCACCACGGAGATGGCCGCAACCGCCGCCAGCCGCAGGCCCCGCGCGACCGGCAGCAACGGCCAGGCGAGCAGATGGAGCAGCAGCACCGCCAGCAGCAGCAGCAGCAGAAGGTCGCAGGCCTGGGCTACGCTCCAGCCGGCCGGGAGGTCGCAGCAGGTCCAGCAGCCGCTGCTCTTGTCCGGCCGAGGCACGCACAGCACCGAGCGAGAACACGGAGACTCTTCGCGGTCCCGCTGCCGTTCCTCCGCGTGTCCTGCGCCGCCGCCTCCAGCTCCTTCAGCAGCTCCACGCGGCGTTGACTCTTGAGCTTCAGTACCACTCCCGGCGAGGACAGCGATCGCGTTGCCCATAGTGTGGGTTGGATGTGTCGAATGCGTGTGGGTAGTCTCCTGGACCCCTCCTCCCCTCCCTCCTCTAGGTCAACTCGGCCTTATACGACACCTGGTGCCATGTGGAAACGGCGATTGTCGAGATGAAGGCGGCCGTCCTAGGGTGATGATGGTGACGGCGGCAGCCCCGCCATCGCCTCTCCTCCTCCGCCGCGTGGACCACCACCACCACCTGACCGGACTCTGAATGGTGCTCGCGAACAACACTTTGCCCCAACAGCCTGTGTGGCTATACCGGGGGGGGAGGAGGGCGTGTGGCTGTCTCGTGGGCTACACTGTTTTTGTTGTTGTCGTTATACTGTACACAGTAAATGCCACAGCTTAAGCTTGTTTCAAGATCATTTTGCCAGTGTCTGTTCAACTAAACGGAGTGTTACGTTTATTTTGAGTGCTGGGTAATGAATTTGCGCTGCACTCGGGTCAACTCATCCCCTTGTCTCAGAATCTGAATTTTTTATATATACCGGAGGAATCGCATCAGAACGCTACAACAAACAATACAAAAACAGGATAGGAGTGCAAAGTATCAATAAGGTAAACAAATCACTTGAAAATATATACAAATAAAACTAAACTATTTTTGTATCTCACCAAGTAAAGCCCACTGACCTACTGGTTTCTTTTTCAGAAGGGACCTGGCTACAAGTGATAGCCCAAATCACTGGGTTTCCAGTAAGTGTGACAAATATAACTCGGCAAAACTGGGATCAAAAATGTAAGTTGTGGCCATGCAACCCAAACTATGGACCGTACGGCAAAGCACGAAGTCTACGCTCTTTCAACGGAGCAGGAGGAATAGCAAAACTCGACGAACTCCCAACGCCTGGAGTCCTCTCGTCCTGGCTTCCAGACCTACACATTGACAACCAGCTCCTGAACATATTGGCAGAGGCACGAATAGAATATCGTAATAATAAAGATGAATAACCTAACGGGAATTGCTTCGTTCATATAGCGCAAAGCTACCGCTAATGCGCTGTTTCACAACGTCAGCAGTTTTTCACAGGCGCGGGAAATGTTTGCGAGTAATCCCATTCTCGTTATTTTCCTGGTGATTTTCTGTTTTTTTTATTTGCGAGAATAAAATATGAAAGAATGTTGTAAGTCGGGTGATTTGTTTTCCCAAATCGAGCGGCGTGTGCTTGGTGATGTGTCGTTTGAAAGTGCGGCTTTGCCTGTGACCTGTCCCTGACTGAATTCATGTCACGCGTGGTTTAATTTCACGTGGGACTAATTCGCTGCGTCCTAAAACCATTGCACTGCATATATGGACAGCCCTCCCGATCCTCTGCTGGATGAAGGGCCGTGGGAGGTTATCTGACCATACTTCACCACGATGATAATTGTAGGTTGGTGGAGGCGGGAAGTATAGCCACGTGGGTGCATAGAAGTGCAGCAGAACAATCCACTTTGCTGCATTGCCCACTGCGTGAACGTGAAATCCAGTCATTGTAACTTGAACACAATGCGATGGGACTTGGGCTGTCGTGTTTGTTAGGCATATAAACAAAATGCATTTACCGAGCTTCATAGGACCCGACTAAGTCAATTTTACGTGCACACATGACATTGCTATCTCGAAGGTATCACAATCACCCACATTATTGGTATGATTGATTTTAACTCCTGGATATTAATGTATTGTAAGGCGTAGATTCAAGAATCAATTATTGTTTATTACTGAATGTAGTGGCCTCGAGTGGCTGAAGGGAATCACGTGAAGCTATTACATACAAGATATACATTGAAAAACAGCGATCTTTACATGTGCCATTCGATTAGATTCCATGAAGTATAGGTACAGATACAATATTAATCTATATATCAATAGATGCATTGTCGTACCTATAATTATTACGCCTATGTTTTCTCGCGTTCTTTTCAGGATATGCCATTTACAAGGCGAATCTCACACAGTAGAAGTTTCAATACGACTGTAAGGCTCATTGCTTTGGGTTATATATACGTACGGCAGCATTGTGATCGTGTGTAGAGCTGTCCCTACATCGGTGGCCTTGGAACAATGGCTTGTGACTGGCCAAGGCTAGGGTTACATCTTTCTGCAGCGCCTTCACTGTGGCACTCCGTGGGAGGGATTTGAATCGGACAATGAGATCAGAATATCCATCTCATTGGGGCGACGACGAGACCCGAGCACCAAATATATTGTGGTGCCGTTTGAATTCCATTCGAATCGAGGCAAAATTAACAAAAACAAATCTTCGCTTAAATTACCCACTTGTTGTTACGGTACTTTAATGTTTACGAATGTGTAACAGAAGTATATTTAAGCGTTATATTTTTTAAGGAAAAAAAGGTCAACATATTTAGGTGGGTGCCACCCCAATGCCCAGTGCAGTGCAAACTGCCACCGCCGATGGGCACGGATGGCTACGTACGGTGCGAAATAAGTCCAACATACATCCATGATGGAATCTTATCCAGAGACCAGAATAGTCTCGTTTGCAAGAGCCACCAGGGTAATCATACTCACAAAAAGCAATTAAACACAGTCCAACAATATAGCGAATACAAGTCAAGAGCAAGTTACAGCAGAGGTTTAAAACAGCACACAAACATCAATCATTAAATAAAAAGCATTTCTTGTCGTTGCTTCGAACAAAATCGTTGTAAAACCATTACCGCTAAGTTAAGTTACAGAAGCATCTGAATGGTGATTCCTGCACTGATGTTGCACAGTTGTATCCTCCTAAGGGTGGTCATTCTGTCGTGTGAGTTGGGTTTATTTCTCATTGCCTGCACTGTGTTAACTATGGCACGCTGCTAATAATCGTGTTATATGAGCATGCATTGTAAATTGTTGATGCGATATATGCAAACTGTACAGTATATCTGTTGAATAAATTACATCTAAATTTATGCTGCTTAGAAATTGGTACGAGGTATATGCACTATACTGTATATATCTATGCAACGTAGTGTTACATACTTAAATATGTATTTACATTTCGATACATATTATTTTCCCCGCACAAAGCGATAGCCACGATCCGTTTCTGCTCTGCCCTATCTTTGGAGCTGTTATTCAGTTTTTTTTTATCGCAGTGGATGCAGTTTGACCGAGGTGAGATGTAAAATAATGTCAGAGGGCTCTCTCCCTTCCCTCCAATTCCTCTCGCGCCTTTGAATTGCTGCCTTCTATGCGATGGGTCTACACTCACCGCCTGTTCGTCCGGCCTGCAGTGAACTATTTACATGCAGTGGAGTCGTTGCTGAGTGTGCAGGCAGTGAACTGCCCAAGTCTCAAGTTACAGAGAAGGGAGAAATATTGTATAGGAGATCCCATGTTAGTGTTGGTACCAAGGCCCATGCCAACCATGCTATGCCACTACTTTACATGTCAACTCTGTGCAGGGTTTCTGCATCATTTGTTTTGGGTTTTTTTTTTGGGATACACACTGCCAGTTCTTTTGGAATCGTCATATTAGTGGGCATTGCTCAGGTGAATAACAACAACAACAACAACCATATATTTGCCTATTGTTTATCTGTCCACTTGTTTATGGATGGCACAGTTTAATTTTGCAGAGTGCAGCTCATATATTTGACGTGAAGAATTGCAGTCTGCCAACTCTGTATGGAAATGTGTGCACTGTCCACTCTCAGATGTGTTTAAATCACATTGTGCCCGTGTGTGTGGACGACGAAAACTGATGTAAAAAACATGCCCCCCCTCCCCCCCACACACTTCCCGCTTGTGTAAGCAGCATCATACTAGGATACAAATAATCCATTTGGGAATCTCACAGAAGTATTTCGAGAATGGACTACAAAATATATATATATATTTTTCCACCGGAAGCGACCTTTTAATCCTTTACACAGTATAAGGCTCACTTTCACACGAGCTCTGCTATGAGAGTGTAACGTGACAATCCACATTTTTTCAATTCTCAGAACAGGAATTGGTCAAACCGACATTCACAGAGTTAGAATTTCATCAAATCAAATTGCAAAAACGTATTTAATATACATTTTTCGGCAGTCATTTATATTCAGCTGAGACCATCAAATCATTAAACTTCAGAATCCGGTTTAATCAGGTGGATCAATGCCAGATCCAGACGGTGGTGGCACACGCCTATAATCCAACACTGCGGAGGGGAGGGTTGGTATATCACAAATCCTGTGGGCATTGAGGTGCCTTACCCTGGCTTGCCAGGAGAAGGCAGGAAAGCAAACGTGGACTCCCATCGGTTCCAAATGGATGGGATCCCCCGTGCACGCATGGGTTTTGTCTGGGCGTGCACTTTTCTCCCACATTAAAACATTTATTAAATGGCTAAAAAACGCCTTTATATATAGAGGGCCACACAAGCTTGGGAAACTGTTGGCATCTGCTCACCACCTGCTGCCTGTGTCCTCGCGATACAACCCAGAGACCTATGCAGCACAACGGCGAAAGCCCACGCATTAACCTTAAAACAGGCTGATAGACCGCAACTACGTGTCATCTTTACACGGAGACAAAGTGTGCTGCTTAAGCTGCAATGCAATTTTTTTTCCCTAAATCACTGTCGCTGACCACAGGCCCAGAGCTCCAAAACGCCATGCAGCCATCGGCAAAAACGGCACCCTCGAAGGTGCGAGAGATGAATATGGGTGAACACGAACCTTGACTCGAGCACCGTTCTGTTTGTGGCGTCTAGAATGCGCTCTTGGCCAGCTTGGCCGCGCGGAAGGCCTGCATCACACTGGAGCACTCGCCCATCCGGTGGCATTCGTGGGAGGCGGCGGCGGCCTCGGCGGCCTCGGCGGCGGCGGAGGCGCTTGGTGCGGTGCCGGCCGCGCGCGGCGTCCCGTGGGGCCGCTCTCCTTGCTGCGGCGCGGGCCCGCGGCCGCCCGGGGTCGCCGGCCGGGCGGGCCGGCCGGCGCGGGGATGGCGGGCGGCGCGCATCCTCCTCAGCAGGCGCAGCACCGCCTCGTCCCAGTCGGAGGGCAGTAGCAGCAGCACGAAGGCGGCGCAGATGAGGAGGGTTGCGTTGAGCCGCACGGCGCTGAAGTCCACGTCGGATCGCAGGGCGTCCGTCACTGCACAGGAGACGCATCCGCGACGTCCCTGTTATAGAGCAGCCCGCTGACCTCGCTCCCTTGCATTGCCAGGTAATCGTGTACGCGTGCGTGCGCAGCCCCTTTCGCCAATCCGCTGCTGGACGAATGCTTCCCCACCCCGTGCGGGTCATCGGGGCTATTTAACGGTACTTCACCACGCTCGTCAGTGCGGTTTGGCGAAGACGGAGAGCACGAGATATTGGAGCATAGTACAACACAACCGTGGATTTAGCTCCACTGCCCTCTGCTAAACCTTATATTTATATACTGCCTCATATCCAAGGCGCTTTACAAGGGTTATATTGGTACAATGAGGTTGTCTAAGGGTGATATGGTGGCATATGAGAGGAGGAGGAGGGAAAGAGGTGAGGGGGTAGGGATGGGTAATTGAAGACAAGCTCGTGGGAACGGGAATCACGGTGGGTGCCGAGGGATGAAGGATGGGCCAGGGAGAAGACGTCGGGGTCTTGAGGGAGGAGCGGAAACTCGACAGGGAGAGGGGTGCTTCTCGCTGCTTCATGTGGAGGGGGAGTTTGCTCCGGTGCAAGGGGCCGAGTAGGGGAAAGGAGCGGAAACGGTGAATGGTGCACAAGGAGAGGGGGAGGCACGGTGAGGAGTGGTGGGAGGGATTGAGAGCGGAGCGGGCGGGAGGGGACACTGTGTGTTGTTTATCGTGATGCTCGCCCATTGAAACACGATCCAGGCTCAATCCTGCTTAGCTTCCGAGATCTGACAACATCGGGCACATTCACCGATGTGATTTGGTCATAGGCGTATGCAGCTGATCCGACAGCTGGATACGTTTCAGACGAGAGCCTATGCTGCCGAATTATTTTAGCAACACCATCGTCACCTAGTTTTACATCTTCACGACTGTATACTGATGCCAGATATTTCCACTGACTGTACATATATTGCCGGCATCTAATTGATATGTATGTCCCAAACCTAATGGAAAAAATGTATTTTTACATACTGGTGAGTAAGGGTGATTTGGCCAGATCAGAGCTTAGAACTGGGATGTTACCCAGGATTGCTCGGATTATTGCACCTGCTTTTATTAACAAGCATCAAGGGACCGTGAATGATTCTCCGCGAGGTGATGCAGGTAAAAGTAAATGCAAAGGCGCTGCCTTGATGTCAAGGAAGGGCCTCCACTAGCAGCAGCTCTACAGAGCCCCTCCAGATTGAATGTTTTTGGCCTACTCTTCCGCTCTTGACAGACGGTGATACAGGACCACAGATTGTCGTCTCATCTGAGACGACGCTTCCTTGCAAGTCAATCCACTGCTGGATGAGGACTACCCCCACCAACACCGAACGAGTCGTGGGGGTTGTTTAATCACAATTCACGACACCGATCAATGCAGGTTGGTGAAGGTCAGTAGCATAGACGTGGAAGCATAGTGCAGTACAACAATGGATTTTTCTGCACCGCCTTCTGGTGAAGGGTGTTGCTCGGGTACTTGCCTGCGTTTCCTGGCACACTGAGAAGCACCCCCAGGGAGATGAATATCGGGTAGGTGACCACCACTCCAAAGTTAACCAGAACGTTGAACACTGAAAATCAAACAAAACACCATCACAACGTTTTTGGAGCAAAGTCAAGTGAGCAATAAACACATTTTAAAATATCAACGGTTTGTTTGTTAATGCTTTTAAAAGTATAAGTGGATTTTTTGTTGTAATTTTAAGCCACAAAAAATGTTTGAGACGTGTTGAAACAGCGTTGAGGAATGGCTCCTCGTTGGAACAACTTAGAGGCACTAAGTGGAAGGATGCGGTGGAGCTGTGGCACAACGGTTAGCACGCTCGACTCTGAACCCAACAGCCTGAGTTTATAACCAGCGTGGTGAAGTATGGTCAAACAATCCCCATCCAAAGGTGGATTGACAAAGGTGCCTGTGAATCATCATCATTACGACGTAATGATGATATGCTCACGTAAACGTGACAAAATCACGCACGGTTTGCGTGCAAATAAATGTACGGGCACAATCGATCAGGGGTACAGAGACGAATGATGACTCTGTTTGTTCACGCTGGTAATTAAGCAGGTAACGATCCGCAGTCCTGGTGCATTGCTGAATTGATACATCTTCACTGTTTATGACCAAATCCTATGTCATATTTCTATCACATATCTCGTAAGTTCTGTCCAGTTTATTCAGTCCTCTTTATTATCTCACAGGAACAATCACCTGTAATTTGCATATACTCTGCAGGCATTGCAAACAATACGGTATACTTTTAAGCCACACTAATGCATTGTTTGCAAGCGTAAAAATCGATGTTAATGTATGAAACTATCCACGCTTACTTGCCAACTGGAAGTGCCTCGACGAGTCGCAGAGTTCTCTCTCAAGGAGTCCCTACGTGAGGTCACCAGTGTCAATCTCCCGGGGCGGAATTTGGAAACAACTTGATTAAATTCACCACCCCAGCCGCTCGCCCCCCACTCCCCCTACCATCTCTTGTCTACCCAGCAGTATACATTCATTTGTCATTGATAACTATTTTGTAACTCTTTCTTTATTTTACCAGGTAAGGCCCACTGAGCGATAAAGCTCGTTTTCATAAGCGAACTGGGCTATCACGAATGATAGCTCAACGAAGTGGCATATCACGTGGGAATGTAGAGCAGCCAAATACCTTAAACGCGTGATGTTGATTCTAAATGTGGAGGGAAAAACCGGAGAAACCGGAGAAAAGTCCACACGACCATGGGGAGAACATGCAACCTCCAAATATACAGCAGGCGTCAGAGTCGGGATCGAACCCACGACCTCGTGTACACCAGGCGAGGTAGTTAACATCTCGCCTCCGTGGCACCCATTAAGACTATGATAAGAGGTCACGTGAAGGGATTTCAGAAGTAGTTCTGTGATGTCTCCTTTTGCGGGCTGTTAGGGCTATGCACTGCTGCGTGAAAGTTCCAAATCGACGCTTCGTCCAGAAGCTAATGCGTCCATGCAGTGCCGGATTATCTTAGTTGCACAAGTCGCTACACAATGCTACGGGCCCCGCACTTTCAGGGGCCCCGCGCTAAATGCTTTCAAGCTATCAATTCTGGTTCAGTGATTCTGCACTTGTTCTATTGCTATAGTACTATACCACCTTCAACATTTATGAACGACGGGGTGTTTAAGGTTAGCGATTTGTCGTATTAGAAAATGAAAAAATACAATTACATTACTATGCAAGTAAAAATTTGTGTTTTCATATTTATGTGTTTTTTTATTTTATTTAGGGCCCCTTTATAACATATGCTGCAGGCCCTGCACAAGCTTAATACGGCACTGCGTCCATGCCCATACATGTTATCATGATCAACAACAGCCACAATGTATCTGTGCCCGTATGAAGTCCTGAAAAGAATGGACGTAGACTCGAGGCGACCGAGTCAAGTAGAGGAAACTGCAATTCTTGGGACACGTGACCGGGATGAATGGTGACCGGCTGCAGCGCCGCACCCCCCGCGGCCACGCGCAGCGGCGGTGCCGCCAACGAGGCCAAGGCGCAAGGACACACCGAGCAGCAGGCAGGCGAATCCGCACACGTGACCCCAGGGCAGGGCGGCTGGCGAGGGCCAGTACTCGACGTGCGTGAAGTACAGCGCGACGGGCAGCACCCACACGAAGAGCAGGTCGAAGAGTCCCAGCGACGAGAGGAACTGCGACGCCTCGCCAAGCGTGGCGCTGCCCAGCAGCATCTTGCACAGGATCTGCGGGGGGCAACGGCACGAGTGGGGGGAGGCCGCTTTAATCGACGGCCCCGATCGTCGCGCCGCCAGGAGCCCGCGGACGGATTTGCTTCGCCAGAGAATCGCAACGGGCACGGGCCCCCCGGTCTCATCAGATCTCAGGAGGCTAAGCGACGGTCGAGCCTGGCTAGCACTTGGATGGGAAGACTGCCAAGGAATATTAGGCACTGTAGGGTTTGGGCACTGTAGGTGGTAGATCAATGGATCCTTGAGATGCTTCTGTTTTAAGTTTTACTGCCTTTTATGAGAGGGTTTTCACCAGATATATATTTTTAATGTGTCAACGATCCCAATGTAAAACCCTACTGAAAAAGAGTACAGTATGGCTTTATTGGTTAAATATAGGGCGTTATTATTACTTCATACAAGTGTGTTGCTAAAATCCTATATTTTAGGAATGTTGAGACAAGCATTGTGTTGAATCAAATAGATTTGCTACGAGGTGGCGAGGAGATGGCAGTACGGAGTGAGCGGGCTTGTAAACCCACTCACTACGTCAGGTGGTGGAAACTGGAGTATGCTATTAAAACGATACTCATAAAACAGCAATTATTAACGGTGGTATGTTTCTCTTCTAAGACGTTTGGTCCAGCGTGGAAGAGTAGGCCAATAATGCCTCCCTGTTAAGTGGTGGCTGTTCCTCAAGCAGTGTGGCATGAGATACATTTCAGTGGTGTACCTTTACCGTTTATTATGTCTTATTTTTTGATACTCCTTGGGTCTTTCGGTAAAGTCACGTAGGTATAAAATTTAATTATTCAAAAAAATATTCAAATTTTATTTTATTTTCTACCTACGTGACTTTACCGAAAGAACCAAAGAGCATGGATTCCTGCAGTCACGAAAGCTTCAAATCTTACTTTTTTACTTGTTCATGTTCAAGCATAAACAGTGTAACTTATCGAAATAAATAAAAATCTCACGTGTATTGTTTTTTTTTTATGAGGCTCTCATGGAATGTTGGGCCGTGGATAAATTCCCCCAATTCCTCTCCACCCTGTCCCCATCTCTCTGTCTGGCTCTGGCTTGAGGTTACCCGAAGCACGTGCTGCAGTGGGTCGGGAGAGCTGCCTGAATGCCCTCTCCATCACAGAGTGGCTCGCCATCTCTGGCACGTGATGCACTGCAATAAGTGATGGGCCCTGGAAACAATTCAACAGTCTAGGAAATTAAAACCCATCGTCTCGGCCCCGTTCTCTCCCCGGACTCTCTTTGCGGAATTATTAATGAAACTTTTTTATTTCCATACATCCTCTGGAAGCTATTGCAACGGGTTACCCGCCAATTTAATAGAATCTGACTCTTTAAAGAGTACACATGGCAGAGGCAATGTGAGAAGTAGGTCAGCAGAAACAGGTCCAGACCTGGCTAAAGTATTCTCATGGAAGTCACCACCCATGTAGCATGCTGGCTACCGTCGTACCAGCTGCTCGATGCGGCCCCTGTAAACCCTCCCTTCCAAAAAATAAAATGAATTCGCACGGAAGATATGCTGCACTCACTAACCATGTAACGACGATGCTTCGATTAAATCGATTCAAGTTGATTCACTCGCACGTGCACATGCACAGCCCTTTAGTGAATCCACTCGTACTGTTGGACTTGGTTTATTACTGCAGGAGGGTGTCAGGGAGATCGAACGCTCCAAATGCGGGATTACTTCAAGCAAAGAGAGTTTCAAACAGGATTACTGCAGGTGAAGTTATATATTTTAAATGACGGCGCCAAGATGGCAGGGCAAGAGTCTTGACGCATTGCCAATAATCATAAATGCTTGTCTTAGAGAAATAGAATAATGTATACCAGCGTGACAATTCCAAACGAAACATTCATTGTAGGATAACATCTTGGTAATCAACATAATGAATGCATCTTGTAAAAGAACAAATTAGATTATAAACCTACAGATTACTGGATTAGCGTCTCCCTAGGGCGGTGTGTAGGCCATGGTGGTTAGAGGATAATACCTCATCACGCTGGTCAGTGCGCGTATTGGTGACGGCAGAGAGCACATACATGAGGGAATAGTGCAGTACAACAATGGGTTTTTCTGCGCGGCTGTCCTCTCTTGCTGCCACATCAGCTACAACACCTGTGTTGTGTACAAACGGCCACTCATACAATCACTCTCCGGGCTCACGCCTGCTTAGCTTCTGAGATCTGACAAGATCCCGGATGATTTGGTCTAAGGATCACTCGCAATACATGTATCAAATTGCATGTTAAAAAGCTTTTATTTACAATTTATACGCATGTTACATTTAGGCTAATGAGCGAATGAATGAGACGGTACAAATGAGAAAAAAAGTTCCTGAATTGAATTGTCGATCACAAATTACGAAAATTCATCAAATTATCATGGGAGGGGGAATCATGGACTTTAGTGACATCTGTATATGCTGAGGATGCCTCCGTCACAACAGAATGAAAGTGCAGGCCGGAAGAAAAAAACGGCTCACGAAACGTGTACAAGAGAAAAAAAACCTGGCCACAGCCTCTGTGCATTGTGTTAAAACCATGAGCAGCAGTTCTTGAAGAGGTGCATTGTGGTCCTCTCGTCTTCCGCCACCGTCAACGTTGTTTTTGGCTGCTAGCCACCGAGCAAAGACGGTGGTCACCGCATCACGTGGCGCTTTCAGATGCGTTTCTGGGGCCGTCTGGAACGCACTTGCTTCTGATATTAGGAAGCCACTGGAGCGATGCACTTTTAAATGATCATCTAGATTGAAAAACGTATTTCTTTAGAACTGCTTTTTGCGTTAAGTTTGTTGTCCTACCACCGCACCTCCGATTAGCACGGTTGGCTGCGTACGTTGCGAAACAAATTCGACATACATACAAAGTAAGTTTGAGCAAATGTGACCGATCGACAGGCAGCTGCGATACAGAGGCAGTCAACAGCGGGCGGACCCTCCGGCGGCTGTCATTATCAGCACTCATCGGCACAGTCCCTGCCTTGTAGAGGGCGGACGTGGACGCGGAGCCGACAGCCAGGGCCACCCCGACCACGGAGTCGTGGTTGAATCCGTCCACATACTGCACGTAGACCATCATCACGATACCGGCAATGGCCAGGATGGCGGCCACCATCTGCGGCAACGCGGGAGGCGGGGGATGGGGGGACATTGGTTAGTGAGGGGCGTCCCGTGGCTGAGTGGCATTTGCCGCTGTGGTAATTGGTGATCACACTTAAGTGGCGGCGTCTGCTCCACAGTGGACGTTAAAGATCCCGTGACCTCAGTCGCAATGAGTAGGCCACCGTTTGCCGGCGTCAGAGTTGCACATTTATCCACGTAAAAAAATAAAATAATAATAACCCGCATAATTCATCCAAGCACTGTCCAGGCATCGTCCCAGCTTAGCCACCGAGATGGGGCGCATTCCAGGTAACGTGGTCGTAGACTCGCCCCACTGACGACTCACGCTGCCAGTTATTCTAAGAAATCGCGTAACGGCCCGCACGGCCAAGCCACGCGGGTATAAATGGGTGTCACGGCAGAGAGTCGTGCGCGCACCCTGGGCACACGCGCGTGGGTAGGCCGACACACGTGCAGCGGGGCCGTGCGCCACCAACTGCATCAAAGGCCGAGACGCACGTGACGTGACGCATCGGTTACATTTGAAAGTGACGCGCAGGGCGGTGGTCAAGCACGGACATCAATAGCTTAAAACATTGGTGGGGGATGTGGAGGTTGCTTTATGTCACGCATCATTTAAGAATGTCGCTTCCTGGCCCATGAAGCACCAATTTCCCGCACCTCCGATCAGCACGGTTGGCTACGTACGGTGCCAAGTTCAACACACACATTAAAGTAAAAGGTCTTCTTGCATCAAGTGCCAGATTCCTAGCTCCCCTGAAACCCCCCGGGTTGGCAGCTCGGCAGACGAATGAAATGAACGCGCGCAGGGATGGACTGCAAGTTGAATGCAAATCGAGATGCGATAGATGCCGCGGGTATTGAGAGGTCCGTTCATTAACTAATGCGCCGCATCTGTGTGCGTTCAGCCGCAGTGTTTATTCGGTAGATGTTTAGTTTTAATCTAACCGTGCATATGGCATCACCGTGCTATGAGCACGATGATTCGAGGTTGATTCACGGGCGGTGCTAACATCAACGACTGCTCATGAGCCCTGCCTTGGCCAACCGATCGGTAGCACGGTTGGCTACGTACGGTGTGAAAGAAGTTCAACATATATCGCAACCTGCTCTCATCATTGTGGTGAAGTATGGTCAAAAACACTCATGACTGACAGGACTTTGAGTAGACCTTCATCCAGAAATGAATTGACAAAGGGCTCGGTATAATATATTTTCATTGCATCTATGTTTATTTTGTTCGCCACTACGTTTATCCAATTACTGAGCAAAGTGGTATTTTAAATGTAATTACTAATTAGTAATTAATGTCGAATGTATTCCAGCAAACCAGGAAGAAGGCTATGCATTAAAAATTAAAGATCATGCCCCTGGAGTGAGAGAAAAAAGTAAGCCCTGGCTCCCATCGCAGGGATGTGGAATGTTGAGGTGGCCGCGTGGGTCAGAGGTCAGAGCGGTGAACTAACGCCGCTGTGAGATCCTGGATTTGAATCTGAGATCCAGCTGCCCGTGATTACACCGGGTCTTGAAGTTTAGAAAGTGAATGGTCTCAGCTCAGTCACCAATGACTGAAAATATTAACATTCGGTGTTTAAATTAATTTGGGCAATTCTGGAATAATTTTTGTTAGGCTGCGATCTGAGGAATGTCAATCTCATATGAAGGTGTATGGGAAAGTACACCCCTGATTGACTAAAGATGACGAGGCGACATGAATATATATTTTTTATAGAAGTTCCATGAAGTCTCCTACATCCTTGGGCATGTGAGATCGCACTACCCCGCGAGAATTCCGAACAGCAGGACATGCCGCTGATAGCCCGCTGGGAATGTGGGCACCATCCAACACTGAGCATATTACGTTTTCAGCCAATTCTTTTGCAAAATCATAACAGCGCTTTGACGCGTCAACGGGCTGCACCGCGCGGAGTGAAACGTCGGACATCGTGCCGAACGACAGCACGCGCGACACGACCCGAAAACGCTTCGGTGAGATGAACAGCAGCCGCGAGAACCTACGCAGCGGCAGAAAAACAAATCTGACAACTGACTCGGCAACCTGATGGTGGACGCCAGACAGACGAGCGAGGAAGCCCAGCGAAACACGTAGCAGGCTTTCACGACCAATGGTATCCATCATAATGGGGTTTTCTTTTTTTTTTGGGGGGGGGGGGGGGCTAGATCGCGTAAATATATAAATGTGTCGTGAAAACCCGCCACCACCCGACACAGCCAATGAGTGAGGTTTGTCACGTAAACAAAGCGTGCCAATTCTTATCTTCTATTTAAATAGCGCATTTATCCAATTGGTTACGACTTCATCACGCGCGGGTGTGTTGGAGAGTTAAACGCCGCGACGAGCTGAGAATCGATTTGGAGGCCCTTGGGCCAGACGCGGGGAGGTCTGCCTCACCCTGACGCCCACGAAGCGGTCCTTGAGCACGATCCACGACAGCAGGAACACGAAGGCCTTGTTGCAGCAGAAGAGCGCCGAGGCGTCGCTCGGCGGCAGCTTGCGGAGCGCCAGCAGGTACAGGTAGTGAGTGGCGAGCCACAGGGCGCAGAAGGGGGCCGCTCGCTTCACGAAGAGGCGCGCCGTGACGCCCTCCTCTCCCCGCAGCCGCAAACACTCCCTGAGAATCCGAGTCGCAAACAGCCGCGGAAGTTTGCCCGCTTCCTGCCGCCCTGTCGCCCCAGATTCCTCCACCCATGGCTGAGGACTCGGTCGATTGCCACGCTGGCTTGTTTAGTCTCGTCCGCGATGTGTTCACGCGCCTGCTGCTATAATGCAGGTCACAGCAACACGCTCACCCAACCAAGTTACCCACTTGCTCACGCGCTCCATCACCCACTCGATCACCCACTCACCCACCCACCCAAGTTACCCACTCGCTCACGCGCTCCATCACCCACTCGATCACCCACTCACCCACCCACCCAAGCTACCCACGCGCTCACGCGCTCCATCACCCACTCGATCACCCACTCACCCACCCACCCAAGCTACCCACGCGCTCACGCGCTCCATCACCCACTCGATCACCCACTCACCCACCCACCCAAGTTACCCACTCGCTCACGCGCTCCATCACCCACTCGATCACCCACACCCCCACCCACCCAAGCTACCCACGCGCTCACGCGCTCCATCACCCACTCGATCACCCACTCACCCACCCACCCAAGCTACCCACGCGCTCACGCGCTCCATCACCCACTCGATCACCCACTCACCCACCCACCAAAGTTACCCACTCGCTCACGCGCTCCATCACCCACTCACCCACCCACCCGCTCACACGCCCAACCATTCATCTATCGCGGTGGTTCTTAACTTGGACATGACGTATTTTTTTAGAAGGTAAATAATCGAAACACGAATTGGCACTTAAGTACAACTACTTTGTTTCATCAAACCTATGCATTTATTAACATTATACATTTTTTTAATCGATGAGAACCAAAGTGGCTGCAGTAAAGGTTAAGAACCACTGGTCTATCGCAATGATCATGGTTACTGTCCCCGCTGCTTCCTCCGCCCATGCACACATTAAACATTTGTTTTCCTGCACAGTATCCATGCTACAGCCTACGCGTTATCGAGACCTCCTCCGCCGCAGAAGAGACGGACTGAGTCAACGCTTTTGAGGTTTCACGCCGCGACCCCTCGGCTGAGACGGTGCTCCGAACAAACTAACAAAAACAACAACAACAGCCACGTACCGAAAAACCTTGATGGGCGAGCGCTTGTCGCCGCGGTGGCTCAACACGTGCATGGCGTAGTAGATGGGGAATAGCAGCACGTTCCAGGCGGTGGAAAACCACGCCAGGAAGAAGGGCGCCGACACCTTGCAGAAGGCGAGGCGGGCGAGCTGGCTGGCACCCACCAGACACCCGGCCACGGACACCGACACGAGACCTCCCAGGGCGACCCGTGCCAGCACCCGGCTGGAGCACGGTGGCGCCCTGCGGACGGGGCAGCCGGGGCAGCAGCAGCAGCAGCAGCAGCGGGCGGAGCTCGCCTCGCTCGCATCCCGAGTCTCGTCCTCGAGTCTTGTTGGCTCTGGGCTGTCGTGCCTGGCCCTCCCTGCGCGGGGGTGGGGGGCGGGGGCGATTAGCGCGGCGCTGCGCCTAAAACAAAAACAAACCCTGGCCACCCGGGTTCGATTCTCGCTCACGGCCACCAATACCGGTGACGATTATCTGAAGCGGTCCCGGGCCTCCTCTAGGTCGACTCAGCTTCAAATGAGTACCTGGTGTGTAAAAAAGAAACATCGCCACTGGGGAGACAAAGGCGGTCGGGCGTGGTGCTGGCCACTCACACCCTCGTGTGCCGTGCCGGCCTTCATAGCTGCTACTCGCTAACAGCACTCGCCCCAACAGTCTGTTTAACCAGGTACGAACTTAAGAGACCAGGAGGACAGTCTAATTTGCAAGAGCGACCTGGCGATGATTTATTTGCATGATCCCAATTGAGTGGTTCGCGGGTACTTTTCGCACTGTCACAAGCTCGGACTCTCACCTAGTCTTGCCCTACTCCCACTCTTGCGACTAACAACAGGGCATCTTTCACGTCTTGTTACACTCGCGGTGACCGTGAGGGCGGCGGCTGGCTTCGAACCCTGGCGCCTACGCAACGGCGTCGACACGCGGCCCTGCTGATGTTTCCCATTGCACGAGCAAACGTTGAGCGCGTCCACGTTCCGACGTTCCGTGCGATGCAGCCAAGCGAGCGGCGCGCATCTCGCTCTCACCTTCAGCGTGGGTGAGCGCCACCGCAGGTCCGCCGCATGCTGTTAGAGGCGCCACTCTGGGCGAATGCTTCTTCATTGGTTTTGCTTTACCCTGCTGCTGATGCTGCTGCTGATATTGCTGATGCCGCTGCTGCTGCTGCTGATGATGATGATGATTCTGCTGATGATTACAGCGACCCCCGCGGACGCTTTCCTATCCAACGCACGCACGTGGGTGTCCGCAGTGGAATAAACGCCGCGCACAAAGGCAAAGATCCCCCGTGTAGCCTAAACGGGCTGTTGGAACAAGCGCTGTCAGCGAGCGGCACCTATGAAGGCCGGCACGGCACACGAAGGGGTGGGTGGCCAGCACCACGCCCGACCGCCTTTGTCTCCCCAGTGGCGATTTTTATGTTTTACTTTACACACCGCACCCGGTACTCATTTGAGGCTGAGTCGACCTAGTGGGAGGCCCATGTCCGGTTCAGAAAACCGCCACTGGTGTTGGCCATGGAGCGGGAATCGAACCCGAGTGGCTGGGTTTGTAGCGCAGCGCGCTGACTGATCACTACCGCTCCGCACACACAAATACACACGCGTGTGTGTGTGTGTGTCCGCGCCTGTGCGTGTCCGCGTGTGCGCACACGCACGCGTCACACGCGCTTAGATTTGCGCAAAAACAAATACTTGGCTCCAACCCCGCACTCGAGCAGCAGCAGCAGCAGCGCATCTGTAAGCTCCTGTCTCTCTCTCTCCTGTGGATCTCACCACCACTTGTCCCCTCCCAACCATTCATCCCCTACAGCTATCATCAAGACACTTCCGCAAGCGTTGCAGCGCCGCTACCCATAGCAGCGTGGCACCACAGACACAATTGATGCTTGTTTCTTAGCGCTTGGTTGAACTCGGATGGTTTGCGGCATAACACCACTTTTTTTCTCCCTGTCGTGCATCAATAAATGTCTTTTCCATTTCTAAACAATAAAAATGGTTAGGGTGCAGTATTGACAATGTCTTGCCCACGCCACTACTGGCGGAAGAGCCTCTTATGTACAGGGAGCTTCTCTCATGGAGGGTATTTTGCCTTTTATTCCACACTTGCCAGATGTCTTGGAAGATGTTTTTGATATATATATGCATCCTCTTGATTTGATATTTTGTTACAGTCCTGCCCAGAACATTCATGACTATTAGATGGTTATTGTATGAAACTCGTTAATTGGCAGGACACTCTTGAAAAAAAGTCATGCCACTTCGTGTGGCTCTCCTGCACAAATGTGCATTATTATTCATTGAATGATGGTGCTTATATCACATCGTTATCACAACTGTTATTATTTTTACAATCCTGGACCGTTGTAGCAATGTCGCCTCATGGGTGTAAACCTTCGGTAGTTATCTTCCTTGTAAACAATGCTTTTGTTAACATAACAATAATAATGATGCTTCGGTAAGAATCATAATCACCAGCAGCAGTAGGAGTGTCATTTTCCAGTGAAGGATTACTCTGATGATCTCTGGTAATCATATGTTTTTGTAAAGTAGAATAATAATCATCATGCTTGAAACCAATGATTTTATTGGCAAAGGTCATTGCTTTGTATTTTCCAAAAACTAATATCAGCATCATAGGTATCTATATATCTCTCTGCATTATTAACGTTAACCTATTAAGACAGCCCTTTCTCAATGAATTTCCGAAGGCTTTCCCAAGCCGTGTAGGTCATGAGCGTTTATCGGCCATACTTCACCACGCCAGTCAGGGTAGACTGATGATTTGTGTGGGGGCCAGGACTGGTTCAGATATTATTCGCCACTCATGTTACCCGCTGCCGGGAATCTAACTCGGACCTGCGGGTGCAGAGCGTCGTGCACTAACCACTGAGTCACCGCTTCATACACACAACTCCAGCCTAGCAAGCCATACTTTGCTTTCCGAATACAATGCGTTTTGTTTATAAAATCATCGTCGTCCAATCCTGCGCATATTCCGGCAATATTTTGTGATCGTTGTAACCTTCGCTTGAGCGGCAAAAAATTGTTGTTAATCCGACACCCGCAGCTTTGCTAACAACGCCTTTGTCATCGGAGTATAATCAGAGTCGAACCACATTGTGGAGTTCCACTAACGCGCGTGGATTTTCCGCAGGGCACCTGTCTCGACCACACTCTCCGTCGACGCAGCAACGCTCCAGCGACACCCACAGACGGCACCCCGGTGCCTGTTGATGCAGCACGACGTACTCAGAGGGGGTGCGGTAGTGCAGTGGTTAGCGCGCTACACACCTGGCCACCCGAGTTCGATTCCCGCTCACGGCCAAGACCAGCGTCTGGTGCGGTGTGTAGTAAACATCGCTACTGGAGAGACAAAGGCGGTCGGGCGTGGCGCTGGCCACCCACCCCCTCGTGTGCCGTGCCGGCCTTCCTAGGTGCTCGCTAACAGCAGCACTTGCTCCTAGAGTCTGTCAAGGTTAACCAGGGGGATCTTTGTATATGGTAATAATACAGCAGGAGCATTTGCTTCGCCGATGAGACCCAGAATGTCTAATCCAGCCCAGCGTTTTACTTGCTTTAGCAAATGCTGCTGGATATCATTGCTCTGAAAAAAAACCGATGGCCTTCAAGTAAGCGCGGTTCGTGTCCACTAGGGGCGATGGGACGCCGCTCCACCAAGCAGCTGGACATGAGAAACTATTTTTCTCATACAAAAAAAATACTTTTCTAATCATTGCTTTGTTGTGTTTAAAAATAAATAAGTACATACTGATCCTTTCAACGTGAATTCCCTACTGCAGAGAAAATGTTGAGTTATTCGTATTAAAAACCGCTGCAACGCCACGGTCTGATTGATTTGTGCATGGGGAGGTCTCGGGGCGGCTGTGAAGGTGTCCGAGTGAGAGATTTCCAACCTTCTTGGTTCAGTGCGATCAGCTTCTAGCGTTGTAGCCACGCCGCTTGAGACCCATTCATGGCGGTGGAAAAGGCGCCCATGGCCGTGATGAGACGCGAGTGTGCACCGTGCAAAGAGAGCCGCTCACAGTGTCAGAGGGGGTTGTGTAGTGTGGACTTGAGGGTCATGGGGACAGCATTTGAGTGCTGTTGTTTTGTTTCGTGTTGTTTATAAATGCCTACCGTTTTGGTAGATAAGACATTCATATCGCTTTCACGGGAGGGCCAATAACATGGCGAGGTTTTTTGTTTTTACAGAGGTCACTCACAACAGCCCTGCCTAGCGGACATGCCACGAGCCGTCAATGACTAAACGTATATTCTTGATTTGAAGCTTTCGTGACTGCAGGAATCCATGCTCTTTGGTTCTTTCGGTAAAGTCACGTAGGTAGAAGAAAAATAATAATAATAATAGATCACGACGTTTCGATCGCCACACAAGCGATCGTCCTCAGGTGGGATCAGAACCTATCCCACCTGAGGACGATCGCTATTATTATTTCTCTACGTGACTTTACCGAAAGAACCAAAGAGTCTAAATGTATATTGTTTATTGTGGGCGGCAGTGGTAATCGTTCACAGTTCGGTTCCTGACTCGGGCGTCTTTCTGAGCGTGCAGTTTGTGAGTTCTCTTTCCCTGCTCTGCATGGATTCCCTCCGGGTTCTGAGATTTCCTCCCAAAGCTAAACAAACAGACAGACAGAAAGCCATACAGCGTAACTGGTTTTGGCCAAACATCCCAATGCTGAACATTTTATTTGTTAAATGACGTGCTCATTTGGGATTACACACACGCAGCAGCAGCAGCAACATCGCCACTCGTCTGCGAAGTCAGGAACCCCTCTTGAATTATTGGACACTCAACGGAGCTCTGCTCGATGTCCGTGCAGTGGCAAGACTCTGCCACTAGATGGCAATGCAAGATCGAGAAATCCGCTACCGTCTGCACGTCAAGTTAACAAATGACGACATACCGTACACATGCAGCCTTACTATAAGCGTATCACCAGAACTACAGACTTAGTGCTGCGTAGAAGCGAAGCATCATATAGTGCATTGTTTACAGGTCCCTGCAGGGTGGGCTGGTAGGACAAGTCTCTGCGCTGTCTATTGCTGATTTTACACCCAACAGCACGAGATTTCACTTCGTTAAAGTATTGAAAGGGGACGGACGGACACATTAATCTATTGCAGGCTGGTACACTCAGTTTACAACTTCGTTCCTATAAAATGCATGCCTATACAGGTCACCATACTTCAAATATGGATTGACGTTGAACATTAACAGGTACGGCTATTTTAGTGCGCACAATGGACAGGCGGTACTAGAACAAAGGGCTTGCATAATGCGCGTGCATAATGTACGTTGATTACCAAATATATAACACAACCGGCAATGGATACCCATTGTCATTTATATTTATTCATTAATCTCCACCACCACTTCGCTCAAGAAAGGCACACAAGTGACGTCATCACATCTACCCCTCTATTTGAGGAACGAAACAGGAGGATTTCTCCACAAATCTGGCTGTCGCCTGATGAAGCTTGTTGAAATTACTGACGAAACGTCGTACTCAGATTGTAAATGTTGTGGCTTTGCTCTCCAACACACCGGTGTGCTGTACTAGTGACGAAGTGGCCACGTTCTGTTTACGTGACAAACCTTACTAGTTGGCTGTGTCGGGTGGTGGCGGGTTCAACGACACATTTATATATTTACACGACCTAACCCAAGACACCTGTATTACGGATGATATTAGTCGCGAAAGCCTTCTACGTGCTCATCCACAGTCAATGTACGGGTACTGCCCCTTTTGTCAATCCACTGCTGCATGAGTGCCATGCGGGTCGTGTGTGGGCTCGGCAGGTGATTTGGCCATACTTCACCACGCTGCTCAGTGCTGGTTGGTGAAGGCGGGGAGCGTAGGCGTGGAGGCATTGATGTGGGTGCTGCACTGCCCTCTGCTGCCCAAGTGCTCGCGAACATGCACTTGCCCCAACAATCTGTTGAAAGGCTATACGGGGGTATCTTTGTCTTTGCTGGCCACCACGAACCCGAAACGGTAATACGGTCTGTGACTTCATTTTGTCTCCACAATAAATGACGTCGAACTGACACAACATTGCGGATATTCATTCAGGGGAAATTTCAACGGAGTCTCTACATCCTTGGCAAGCATTTCCATCACATTTCAAGGATTTGCTGGCGTCACTTAACTGCTTGGGAACACGAACACAATGCTAATCGATGTCGTTCGCAAATGTGGCCCATGTAGGCCATCCTTTCAAAACACCGAGCAGATGGAAATATGTGGTGAATGGGACAGCGCAGTCCACAGAGCTGTAATGTAGCACACAATACCTCCTGTGTGTAGTACACAATACCTCCTGTGTGTAGTACACAATACCTGTGTGTAGTACACAATACCTCCTGTGTGTAGTACACAATACCTCATGTGTGTAGTACACAATACCTGTGTGTAGTACACAATACCTCCTGTGTGTAGTACACAATACCTCCTGTGTGTAGTACACAATACCTCCTGTGTGTAGTACACAATACCTGTGTGTAGTACACAATACCTCATGTGTGTAGTACACAATACCTGTGTGTAGTACACAATACCCCCTGATGTAGTACACAATACCTCCTGTGTGTAGTACACAATACCTGTGTGTAGTACACAATACCCCCTGATGTAGTACACAATACCCCCTGATGTAGTACACAATACCCCCTGATGTAGTACACAATACCCCCTGATGTAGTACACAATACCTCCTGATGTAGTACACAATACCTGTGTGTAGTACACAATACCCCCTGATGTAGTACACAATACCTCCAGATGTAGCACACAATACCTGTGTGTAGTACACAATACCTCCTGTGTGTAGTACACAATACCTCCTGTGTGTAGTACACAATACCTGTGTGTAGTACACAATACCTGTGTGTAGTACACAATACCTGTGTGTAGTACACAATACCTCCTGTGTGTAGTACACAATACCTGTGTGTAGTACACAATACCTGTGTGTAGTACACAATACCTGTGTGTAGTACACAATACCTCCTGTGTGTAGTACACAATACCTGTGTGTAGTACACAATACCTCCTGTGTGTAGTACACAATACCTGTGTGTAGTACACAATACCTCATGTGTGTAGTACACAATACCTGTGTGTAGTACACAATGCCTCCTGTGTGTAGTACACAATACCTCCTGTGTGTAGTACACAATACCTCCTGTGTGTAGTACACAATACCTGTGTGTAGTACACAATACCTCATGTGTGTAGTACACAATACCTGTGTGTAGTACACAATACCTCCTGTGTGTAGTACACAATACCTGTGTGTAGTACACAATACCCCCTGTATGTACTCAGGATTAATATGTGGCCCTGAATTGTTGTGTCGGAAAACTTCTGAAACCTTGGCAGGGCCCTCCTGAAAATTAGTCCTGAGACTCATCGATGCTTTGCTTGGTATTTCTTTTTTTACCAGGTAAGGCCCACTGAGCTATATAGCTGTTTTTGAGAAGCAACTTGGCCAAAAATGATAGCTCAACGAAGTGGCTTGTCACGTGGAAATGTATAGCAGCCAAATACTCGAAACGCATATTTCTAAATGTCGAGGGGAAACCCGGACGACCCGGAGAAAAATCCACGTGACTACGGGAAGAATATACAACCTCCAAATATACAGCAGGCATCAGGGCCGGGATCGAACCCATGTGCTCCTGTATGCCAGGCGAGGCAGCTAACATCTCATCACCGTGGCAAGATGTTAGCTGCCTTAAAATCACCCTAAATAAGTGAAATTCAACCACAAAATCACCAAAGTGCCGCAAAAATTGAATGTTGTTACAACAGCAACAACAACAACAGCAACGGATGCGACAACTCACCCAGGTGCGAGCAGGAGAGGAGGGAATCTCTGCGGCTGCACGCCAGCCCTGCCCGCGGGGCGAAGTGGCCGTAGCAGCTGCCCGTAATGCGCATGATGCGCTGCTCGATGGACGCGAGTCCCCCCGTGACGCTGGGCACGTCGAGGAAGGAGCGAGACGCGCGGACGCCGTCCGCCCCGGGGAAGCCCCACGTCTCGCGCGCTGCGTGCAGCGAGCGCAGCTGCCCCAGCTGCGGGCTGATGTCCGAGAGGCGCCGCATGGGGAACACGTGCGCAGGCACGGCGGCGGCGGCGGCTGCTGGGGCTGCTGCTGGGGCTGCTGTTGCAAGGATGGCCGTTGGCTGCAGGTGTCCTCGGATGCAGATGGTCCTGTTGCAGGTGGTTCGGATGCAGATGGTCCCGTTGCAGGTGGTCCGGATGCAGATGGTCCTGTTGCAGGTGGTCCGGATGCAGATGGTCCTGTTGCAGGTGGTTCGGATGCAGATGGTCCTGTTGCAGGTGGTTCGGATGCGGGTGTCTAGGATGTAGATGGTCCTGCTGCAGCTGCTTTGGATGCAGACGATCCTGTTGCAGGTGGTTCAGATGAAGGTGTCTCGTATGAAGATGGTCCTGTTGCAGGTGGTTCGGATGCAGATGGTCCTGTTGCAGGTGGTTCAGATGAAGGTGTCTCGGATGCAGATGGTCCTGTTGCAGGTGGTTCGGATGCAGATGGTCCTCTTGCAAGTGGTTCAGATGAAGGTGTCTCGGTTGAAGATGGTCCTGTTGCAGGTGGTTCGGATGCAGATGATCCTGTTGCAGGTGGTTCAGATGAAGGTGTCTCGGATGAAGATGGTCCTGTTGCAGGTGGTTCGCATGCGGCTGTTTTCAATGTAGGTGTCTGTTTCACATGTCTTCAACGGCTGGTGCACGACAGTCCTGCTGCAGGTGTCTCCGTTGCAGGCGTCTTAAATGTCGGTGTCTCACGTGTATTGGTGTCTCTTTTGCAAGTGGTCTTGCTGCATGTGTGTCGGATAAATGTGTTTCTGTTGCAGTTGTCACGGCTGTTTGTTGTCTGATGCATGTGTCCCAGCTGTACGCCTCTGATGTAGATGTCCGAGCTGCAGTTGTTCCGCGTTGCAGGAATCTTCGAAGCAGCTATCCGTCTGATGCAGGTGTTCCGGCTGCAACTGCGGGTGCAATTTCACCCGGCACACCACACTCAGTATATCTCTCGCTGTGCCTGTGTCTACAGGTCACGTGCTACCTACTCCGGTGTCAATCACCGACCAGGAAAATAATGTGTCCTCACCCGGCACACCGCATCCAGGATAACCTATCGCTCTAGCTGCGGCTACGATACTGGTCACACGCCAGCCGACCCCAGCGCTCGGCGTGCAAGTGTCGCGGTCTTTCCCATTGCGGACTCTACTCGCGCAGCCTCGATCGTCGCCGCTGTCAACGCAGAGCTCCGTTACAATACTGGGGTGGCCGACTCTTCTTGGCCGCTGTCCCACGCTCTCCACACTGCTCTGTGTAGTATAGAGCCACGCAGCACCGTGCTACTGCGTTCACAGTGCCCTGCTCCTAATAGCTTATTCCGATGCGCTTCCCTTGCTTGTGCGTGATGTGACGGCGTGCCTGTCCGAGCGTCCGGGTGTCGTTCGTGTAAAGTCCCACGTCAGTGTTGACCCAGTGTCTATATCTCTTTAATCGATGGATCTACGGCAACCTCATTCGAGAGTGTCTTGAGTGTTCCGCTAAAGAACGTACAGACATTTTGCTCATCCACTGCTGGATGAGGTGCCACCCGATGCCACAGCCGAATAACCCTCCTCTCTTTAGACCACCATCATCACGTCCGTGCCGAACTCTCTGTCTCTCCCGCTGTGCGTCTGTTTCTCTGTCTGCATCCTCAACGTGAATGCGTAAAATCGACTCCACCTCCTTCCCAAATCTCACCTGCCTGACGTGGTAAAATTGCAAGCCGAATGCGCGGCAGCAGTAGCAGCAGGGCGCTCCGTGTCTCGCTTGCAGCTTTCGTGAATGACTCCGCGTTGCGCGCAACCGTGGCACTTTCCCGACAACTCACCTGCGAGTGAGTGGCGGTGACACCGCGAGCGGGCGAGCGAGTGAACGAGCGTCAAACGCGTCGTCTACTCACGTGCAGCTAGAGCCATCCGGCCGAGCAAGTGGGCAATGGATAAGCGTGCTGCTTCTACTGCTGCAGCATGCACAGACGCAGCAGCAGCAGCAGTAGCCTCAGCAGCAGCAACAGCGGAAGCAATAACAGCAGCAATAGCAGCAGCACCCACGCGCTTATAGCTCAACGATGAATATTCACTCCCCTCCGCGCGTCTCATCTGCACCAGAGTAACCAATTAAAATTACTTAAATTCATCTCTAATTGGCCACCGGCGAAATACTTTTTTTAATGGGGAAAATTAATCCCAAGACGCATTACATAATGCTGATATTACAAAAATAATACGCAGAAGCGCCTGCAGCTCGGTTTGCTGATACATCGTTGAAGGCGTAAAGTGTTGCGAGTGGGATGATAAAGAAACCACGTGTCGTCCACACGAGTTTAAGAATCAGCTTGCAAGTGTTCTCGACGAGAGCTAATTCATTATGTTTATTTATAGCCCGATACAAATTGCCCCAGGCGTGCGTATCGGTGTCAAGCAAGAACACAAAGGAGTCATCATTATCTTTTATCTCGCTCGACATGCACGGACCGAGAAGAGCCGTCACCTGTCAACGTGCCTCCACTCCCCGTGCACCAACACCAAAGGAAAAGATCCCCCGTAAAGCCTTTAACTAACTGTTGGGGCAAGTGCTGTTTGGGAGGACATGTGAAGGCCGGCACGGCACCACGAGCGAGTGGTTGTCCAACACCAAGCCCTAGCGCCTTACTCTACTCGGTGTTGATGTTTACACACCCGCACAACCATTTAAGGCTGAGTCTACCTAGGGGAGGAACAGGACCGATTCCGATATTCGTCACTGATATTGTTCGTAAGCGGGAATCGAATTCGTGTCGCCGAGTTCATCGCACACACGGTGCGCTAACCACTACACCACTGCACCACCACGACTACTACCACCCCACCACCAGCGCTGCACAGCCGATGTATATTCTACCCGTTAGATGTTTCTCCTACCCGTTAGATGTATATACCACCCGTTAGATGTTTCTCCTACCCGTTAGATGTATATTCTACCCGTTAGATGTATATACTAACCACGGGCGCTCGCTCGGGCTGGAGTTTGAGTTCATAGGATGAATCACTCGCTGCAAGGGAATTCAACAAAAACATGGCAACATTTGACACATTATAGCCAGTGATTTATTTCAGTCCAGAACAGTCTGGAACATTTTTCCTGGAGTCACTATCAGTGGCGAGTGATATCTGAACGTCTCCTGGATGCCCTTTACAACAGCTAACATGGTGAAGTACAGTCAATCACTACCCATGATGGACATGGTGTAGTAGGTGGTAAATTATTATTACATATATTTTCTGCTGTGACCCGTGAATCAGAATACGTGGACTCTGATAAAGATACACACACAGAAGCCTGGAGAGATGCATGCAGGAAATTTCACTGAGAGACAGAAAGAGGAACACGTGGGTCAGAAGCATCACGCAGACTGTTAATAAACGTAAGGCATGGAATCATGCGCACCAGACTGGTGATGGAATGGCAGCTAAAGGAAGAACAAAGAATCACCGGCTACTACGCTAATCTCCTCCTACTGCTACTACTACGCTAAGCTCCTGCTACTATAACTTAACTCCTACTAATATACTAAGCTCCTGTCACTACGCTAAGCTGCTGCTACTACACTAAGCTCGCGCGGGAGAGTGAGATGGACTGTGGCATCGCAGAGCCAAGAGCGATGGCGAAGATGTGAGGAGGGGCCTTCATCCAGCAGTTGATAGAAAATGCCTCACGTTGACAATGCCGGCGAGGTGTTTATTTTGTACAAATGCCACCGTGCACGATAACCGCACGTCTGCTTAAGTGGCTATGGCGCTCCGATACCCACCAAACAAAGCATGATTTTACTTGAGCAAAGTGCATGACCCATACCTATGATGGGGCAAAAGACGTCGCAGCCTATTCAGCCAGTGTGGATGAATACTCTTGTGTGATACAAAATCAATAGCGCGTCCTTCCCACGTTTGTCTCTCCACAATAAATACAAAGTATTTTTTGTACTCTACTCATTGGTCACACGGCCTTCTCTGAGCGCACCCTATCAGCGGCATCTGTCCGATACAAGCAGACTCGAGATCGGTTTTGACATTCATTGACGCATAAAAAAATCAGCCTTGCTTTGACCAAAGCTGGTAAACCGCCAGATTTGAGAGACAAACATGGGAAAGGAGCATTATGTATTATTAATTCTAAATTATGTATTCATGGCATGGCCTACGGGCAGCGCGGTCGCCGTTTGCTCCAGAGGTACATGGTTTTAATCCAGCGACCGCCCTGATTATTACCGTGGGTCTAATAACCATAAAAATACAAAGCGCCGTCTGCTCAACAGTGACCATTAAAGGTCCCCTGACGTTAAGCATAAGAGTTAGGCCATTATGTGGTGGTCGTGTCATGGTCCAAATTTGGCCAAATTTGAAAAATCACCCGCAAATTGCTGATTTGGAAAAGACAGAGCAATTATTTCATCGCCCCTTACTGCAAAAACTTGGCAGGATCCTGCCGAAAAATATTCATGAGCCTCGGTTATTTCCGTTTCGTGAGTCAACAAGCTTTCAGATGCGCTTCCACGGCTGTCCAGAACGCTCTGCCTTCCGCTATTATGAAACCGCTGGAACTATGCACTTTCAAATAATTTAGATTGAAAACGCATTTATTTAGAACTGATTTTTGTGTTTCGTTTGTTGTCCTTCCCCCCCACATCTTCGTTCCGTACGGTTGGCTACGTACGGTGCAACATACATACAAGCATATTCATATGTGTTGTATTATACTACCAGCATTACACCAGCCCAGCAGTGCTGACATTGGTTCCGTAAATCCCCCACAGTCTCTCGTGCATGGCTTTATCAGAAGCGATGCTCTGACATATCAAAGAAATCAATGTTTGAACGTCTTTGTGAAATAGGCGAGATTAGATAAATGATCTCAGTTCGGCGAGTGGATTGTGTCCCGTGTCAGCTGTCAAATAATAATAATAATGTTGTTCTGCAGTGCATGGCGAAACAAAGACACATTTAAAGATTCATTATGTCCACCCACAGTCGGTATCATTGTGAAATAGACCGTGCCAGATGATGTGCGTGCAATAAATGTGATTAGATTCTCGGGAGTAATCTTTTTTTACAAGCTGCATTTGCACAAGCAAGCAAGTTCATCGATGGCACACATTTAAAAATACTGTACGTGTAGTATATTTGTGTGAACGCGTGGCTGAAATTCAACCGGAGCTTCCGGGGCTGAGGTGCAGAATACATGCCAACAACATGCTACCCCATTCCCCCCTTCCCACCTTCGGACCAAGGAACTGGGAGCTGCAGAAAAGATTCCATGAGAAATGTAAGTCCCGTGTAGATGTGCAGGCCCTTTGTCAAACCAATGCTGGAAGAGGGCCCCCCTAAGCGGTGCGAGTTGTGGGTGTCGTTTGACCATACTTCACCATGCTGGTCAGTATGGGTTGGGGGAGGCGTGGGAACAGAAACGTTGGAGCATAGTACAGTACAAGACTGGATTGTGCAGCACTGCCCACCGCTGACAAAGTAGCGGTGAGGTTTCACTGTCCAGTCCAGTGCTGTGCAACCTCCATCCTTGACTCACACAGAAACCCGAAGCTCATTCGCCTCGGACGCAAATAAATGATGAGAAATACCCACAAACATTCATCATCATCATTAACAACATCGTCGTCTGCATACACACAGTCTAGTTTGGAGCTCGTCAGTTCATTTTGAAGACGAATTATAATAATTCCTTTCTGGCAACCAAGTGCAGAAACAAAACCACCCGGGTTGCACATTTTAAAGCTGACGCCGATTGGCTTGCAGCATCCTGGCTTGCGGTCAACTTCACACGTAGGCTTTCTGACAAATCGCCCGATGATGCTGGATGCAATTATCAGCGAAACGTCGTACTCCTCAAAATGTAAATGTTGTAGATTTACTCTCCAACACACCGGTGGGCTGAAGTAGTAAACTATTTGGCACGTTTTGTTTACGTGGCAAATCCCTTACTGGCTGTGTCGGGTGATGTAGGGTTACGACACATTTATACTGACGCTATCTAACCCAAAAACCTTTATTATGAACTGGCTTGCGGTGTCGGCGCACTTCCCTCTCAGCGTACAACGGGCGGGGCCAAACGTTGCTGGCAGGTTGTTGGCACCGTTGGACTAAAGTTGGCCCAAACATTGGGCCCAGTGTTCAGTGTTTCGTAGTTTTCCACCTTCTCTCGCTTCTTGTTGTCCTCCCATCAGTCCAAGAGGGGCAATGCGGTTGAATTCACTCCCGCCCCCCATCTGGATGAAGGCTTTTGCCAAGTCTCATCCATGGTTCTATATTTCACAATGCTGGTCAGTATAATAATGATGAGGGCGGTGGTGGTAGTATCAGTGTCAATTGCACTGTATAATAATTATGATGGCGGTGGTGGTAGTATCAGTGTCAATTGCACTGTATAATAATTATGATGGCGGTGGTGGTAGTATCAGTGTCAATTGCACTTTTAGGCCATTTGGACTTAACGCAGTTGATGTTTCTACGCGAGACATCAGTTCCCATGCACCACGACCAAATGTGGAAACTTCATCCACGTGCATCGGTGAAACCCAGAAAAGGACTGGCAGACAGATTGAGGAACCAACCAAGTATTCTCGCCATTCCCAGCCTCACACACTCTCACGAGTTACAGAATATTTAATATCCACGGGGACACAGCCTCTCTGCTGTCACCATATGTGGCTAGCTAGGATGTTGTGGCTGTGCTGTGTTTTCGGGGTATCTCGCATGTTGGTCATCGTTTATGAAGGATCGTCCATCGCACGGAGTTAAACGTGGGACACCAGGCCAAACAACACGTGGCACAACCCAAAAATAAATCGAATAACCATGTGGTCTGTTGTCCAACTTCACAGTTTAATTCTCTCGGTCAGAGGCAAGACTGGCGTTGAGGCTCAGGACGAACGAGCATCTTGGCCTTGACGCCTGCCTATCATAATCTTGAGACTGGAGAAATCCGATGAGCTGTGAAACTCTTTTCCAGTAAACCTATATAATCCCCTTTAACATTTGTAGAGACTAACTCGGAGACACTAAGAGTTGGAGGCACTTCTTTATTAACCAGCACCATCGGAGTTAACACTTTTATCATTAGTCCATCTATGATCAGCGACGTTACTCAGTCAGGACAGTTGATTGGCTGCCTGACTGGTGACGCCTCGAGATGGTGAAGACGGATATGACGACAAGGAAGATGGTGAAGACGCCGAGAAGGATGATGAAGACGCCGAGAAGGATGATGAAGACTACGAGAAGGATGGTGAAGACGACGAGAAGGATGGTGAAGACTACGAGAAGGATGATGAAGACCACGAGAAGGATGATGCAGACTACGAGAAGGATGATGAAGACTACGAGAAGGACGGTGAAGACGACGAGAAGGACGGTGAAGACGCAGAGAAGGACAGTGAAGACTTCAGCAGCACGACGGGGACCCCACTCCATACGACAGCCCCGAGGTCCCCTCCAGGGGCCCCTCTTATACTGTCAGCGTGGCCTGGCTCCGCCCCCGGCCACGCCCCCTTTCTAGAACCTCCCAGCGGGTTCTCGGTGTGCCCCGTCTGTGACCTTTTCCCCGAGATCCCCCTCTGGTGTATCACGTGGCCTGCTGACATTAGGGCTGGAGAAGTCGCAGATCCCCTTCCCTGCCAGCAGCCAGCGCTATGCTGCTACATTATTATTATTAGTCTATACCACTACACATTCATACAGCATGTTTACATCCCGAATCTCTGCATTTGCGTAGTGATGGGCAGCGGTAGTGTAGTGGTCAGCGCACTTCGCTACAAACCCGGCGACCCGAGTTCGATTGCCGCTCGCGGCCAATACCAGTGACGATTATCCGAATCGACTCGGCCTTAAAAAAATGAACCTGGTGTGGTGTGTAAACATCAGTACTGGGGAGGCAAATGCAGCCAGGTGTGGTGCTAGCCACCCACCCCCTCGTGTGCCATACAAACGTTCAATGATGCTCGCGAACAACACTTGCCTAGGCTATATGGGGGATCTGTCTTTGTAGTAGACATGCTGTAGATTATGCATGCGAGGGTAAGAATGGTGAGACGACTCTGTTGTCTACACCGTTGCCATTCTGTAATTATTTATAATTCAGCATTAGTCTGCATTCTGCGCAGAAAAAATTGCAAGATTATAGGAAGCACTTCGTGTGGAGGGCGCTTCACCTTCAAAAGGCTTCAATCTTCAAAGGGCCCAATCATATTCACAAGCCTCTTCATCGCTTCTGGTTTAATCAGTAAACTTCGGAATGGGGTGTCCACACAAGGTTAAAACCAACTGCACATCGCACGTCTGAATATTTGAAACTTTTCGGTTGTATTATTAATCCAATTCATAGTTGGTTTCTTGTTGGCATGTAAAAATAGTTTTTTTTTTAAGTACAACACTCCACCATCCACCAAAGCCAATCAAATTAAGTTGTCACATCAGCAAAACCGGAAGAATTGTTTTCGTTTAACAGCAGGCGCAATATTAGTTGGAAAGTTGCTCTAAGAGTTCCAAAATGGGTTTACTCCTTCATGAGACGATATTCCCACATTGGAGACCGGTTATATCGCGACACTACCCATCGTCCTCCGCACAAGAACACACGCCACGTTCGTATGACAAAGCTCAAAAAAAGGTTACTTTATTTGTTCTCTTGTGCAGTCAATTACAAACACAACAACCATAGATTAAAAGCCAGCCGATCACCAACCACAGCACGTTAGTCACCAAAACTCTACTGAACAATGCCTTCAGCCGTGCGGCAACATACAAACAAACCCCCCCCCACAAACACGCGATTCGTTATTAATCTAACGCGGTGGTTCACGTCGGCACAACGGGTGGGGTAGACTGCGGTTAAAATATGAATGCGATGTCAGTGAACCGGCACGCACTCTTATCTGAACTGGGCTACGATTCATATTTCACCACCCACGCAAGGCGCTGCTGAAGTGCGCACGCGCAAACTTGAGATCAAACCGTTGAAAAATAGCACGGTTTAGAAAATGACTCCCCAATTCCCGCTACAACCATTGGTGAATGCGTTAATTTTGGTGAGACGGAGTGCTATCAAGGAGACATTTGCCATCAGCCACTTTGTAATCAAGCGCGTCTAATTACCGCTACAATTCATGAGTTGCATAAATCCCGTAACGCCAATGTGGAGTAAGGCAGCGTTAACCGATGGTGCAATGAGCGAATTGCACAGCAGCAATAATGGGAATCGCATTGGGTTGGTAATACCATGCTCCTCTTTGCATCGTTAGCTCATTACACCACTGCACCGTGGGACAAATGTGACCAGATAACAAAAAAAAGTCTCGCGAACGGAGCCTTTAGCTGCTAACTGCATCTGTTCTCGGACATCAAAACGTTGTTTTCGTGCGATAAAAAAAGCATTGCGCTTTCAAGATGCTGACAATGTTCTGTTGCTATCCCAAGAGTGTTCGGGTTGTACCGCGTTTCGTTTGGCGTGACATTCATTTCAGTTCCCGATGAAAGCTCCCTCGACCCACTGGTGTCTATGCCCTTGCCAGTTCACATTTTATTATGATTACTTAGTGTTTGTTGCTCCACTTGCCGAACTATCCAGGCTTCACAGCAGGACTTCACATCGTTCATTTGTCCCAGCACATGGGCAGAGATAAACGTCGGACAGCCACTCTTGAACAACACCACGTGGTACCGACAATCGGAGAGCCCGTAAGAGAATAACCGAAAATACATACGCAAGAGCAGTGTACGGTATTCGCAAGGCGAGAATTAAACTCGCGACCTCTAAGCCGACGAGTCAAATTAGGCATGCCAACTGAGTGCAGGCAGAAATACCGAAAGCCATATGCAGCGTGACTGTAAACAAACTCGATTCAAAGTGTGCGGCCAGCTAAGACGACCACTTTTGCCACCTTTCGCGAATGGTTCACCGCAGATGCGTTTCATCATTCGCCGCAGACAAGGAGATTTGTAAACAATGACTTTCGAAGCAGCATTCCCTCGTTTTAGAGTCCGTATATTTGCACTAAAAACTGCGACTAATAGCTTCCGAGCCAGGTTCACAAAATACCTAGCAATAGCTTTGCACATCTCAGCTCAGGAAATTAGGTTTAACAAAAAGCCTTCCCAATTAATGCAAAGTTTATGAAGACTCGTCTTAGTGCATACAGCAATACAAAATTAATTCCATAGGGCACTTTGTGGGCAACAATGGAGTTAGTTCATACAGTTGGTTGCGTTGTAACTTAAATACACAATCGTTTTCCAATGCGGAGCATGCTATTTTGTGTAGACAAAGTGAACTTTATTATTTGTAAGTAAAACAATTTATTCAGATAAATACCCACCATGCACTGCTTTCAGCGGAGTCACTCCATGTGATGCTTCCTACATTTTACTTCATGCTGTCCAGGGGCGTTCAGTTGAGATGCAATGCACTGCACAGTAGAACGTAACAATTCACCAGAGCAGAGATCATGTGAACTGTCACAACTCCAGATTGTGATGCGAATCCAAAAAAATAATAATTAGGTCTCGTTTTTACACCTCGTTTCTATTGTTTGTTATTTTTTTCTGTCTCACGTAAAGTTTTTGTTCAAGTCGGTATACTCAATGTTACTCGGTCAAATTTGCACAAATCGCAAATCATCGTTTTTCATGTGAACACACAACTTAATGCTGTATCATGAGTGCAAGAAATACATTTTTATAAATGAACCAATTACATCGCTCACGACTGCACCGGATAACGGAATTGAATAAAACGTGTCGTGGATTCCAGTGATGGACTTAAATGGCCTTCAACACCATCTGGCACAAAAGCCTGCATGTGCTCAAGCATCTCGCATCAACGAACAAGGTGCAACTTTCACGGTTTTGAATTTGGTAATCAAAGAAACAAAACACATTCAAGATCCATCCAATGGCTTTAAACATTGATTGAAACAATTTAAAAAATCGTACATCCAACAGTTCATTGCCGAAATCAACAGGGTCAGTTAAGTTTGTAAAGTTAGCTGCTGCGTTGTTTTGCGAGTTAAAAAATTTTCCCCTTTCTCCTTTCGTGAAGATTTCATGAACAATTATATTCTTTTTTTATGTTAAATGCTTTGAAATGTCAACTCCAACTTTACACTATGCTTTGTTTAAACTCCGCATGCGAACACACGACACGCCAAAACCCTCCCGTGTCATGCGTCAGGTCCCCCGTGGGTGAACCGCTCTGAGTTGGGGCGGCATTTCAGCAACGGTGCACGAGCCCCAAAGCGTTGGTGGTGCACGCAGCCCTCTCTCAACTAGGACGTGGTCCATCAGTGCGGCGGTGTTGGTGGCGATGGACAAAATGAAGACCACGGCCCAAACGTTGGGTAAAGCAGAGCTTGGCATTCACAAGCTGGCAGCTGGAAGCTCGGTGCCCGCTGTCGAGCGACTTTATCGGAATTCTTGATAAATTACGTGAACGCATTTTTTGCGTATTTGAGGCAGGGTTGGGTTCCGTTGCCAATAAATAAATCACTTCATAACCAATTAAAAAAATGTTTGCTTTCGCTTCCAACAATATGCGCACGAGAGGGTGTTAAACAAAACAGCTTTTAAAAAAACTAATGTGACCCAACGGAGACAGGAGTTGAGATTTCGCCACGCTCACCGCGGCTTGAACCGGCCGCGTGGAAAACCGCGACGAATCCGTTTCACTTTCTGCCGGCGGTTGGCGACGTGGAGTCGGAGTCGCCGAGCGCCTGGTACGACACGACCGGACCGTCGCGCTTGCGATCGAACAGACGCCGGAGCATCCCGTCGCCGCTCTCCGCCCGCGCCGCCTCAGCGGGCGACGCCGGCGACGCGGGAGCCTCGCCGCCCGTCTCCTTGACGGTGTCGCCGTGGTGGGTCCGCACGAGGCCGTGCGGCTGCTGCTGCTGCTGCTGCTGCTGCTCGGGAAGAGAGGGCGGCTCCCACTGTGGTTGGAAGACGGCCGTGAGACGGCGCATCTGCGGAAGCTCGCAGAACGTCTCCAGCACCAGCAGCATGGAGATGAGGCCCAGCAGCAGATAGACTGATGGGAGGGACGCGGCGGTGCATGGAGACAGGGATGGGGGGGGGGGCACGGAGTGAGTAGGGCAGCGAGAAGGAATGAGAAACCTAATCGCTTCCGAGGGGCAACGATTCGCGTTGTCTTGCCCGAACAAGTGTCGTTTATTCAAATGAAAAATTGGATGCGGTGGATCAATGTGCATCATTACCAACATGAGCCAAAATCAATCCACAGCTAAATGAAGGCTTGCTCAAGTGATGGCCATTTCAGCCAATCGCAGGACAGTGACATGCGAGCGATACAAACAATCACATACCTTTCCATGTCGCTGCGTAAATTGATCGGACGCAGTGAATTGCATCGCACCCAATCAACGCCCACCGCAAAGCAGACGGGCACCATATTCACGGCTAACACACCCCCGCAGCCTTAACCGGGGCGTGACCCCGCTGCGCTCGAGCGGCGAACCTCAGCCACCGCCACGGCCACAAAACGACGCGCCACCGTGCCGGCGCGAGCGGGCGCCACGCACCGGTGACGCAGACCTTGTAGAGCTCGCGGCTGGGCTGCCGGTCCGCCTCCCCCGGCACGTAGTCGCCGAGGCCGACGGTGCTCAGGGAGATGAAGCAGAAGTAGAAGGCGCCGAGGAATCCCCAGCCCTCCTCCAGCGACGCGAAGACGGCGGCGGGCACGACGAAGAAGAGCACGGCGACGCAGGCCAGGAGCAGAGCGGCGTGCGCCGCGGCCAGCAGCTCGGGCGACTGCGGCGGCGGCGACGAGGAGGAGGAGGAGGAGGCGGCGGCGAGCGACCGCAGCGGGCGGCGCGTCAGGTGCTCCATCAGGCGCTGGACGATGGAGGTGAGAAGCAGCAGGGTGAACGGGATTCCCAGCACGGCGTAGAGGATGCACAGGGCCTTGCCGGCGTCCGAAAGGGGCACCGTGTGCCCGTAGCCTGTGGCAAAAGGCGCGTCCGCGAGTCAAGGGCAGGACGAGCCGGCGGAGAGGAGCGGACGGTACATCAAGTGAGAAATACTAAACTAAAAAAGTAACTTTTTATTTTTTATTTTACCTGGTAAGGCCCACCCGAGCTCTATGGCTCTTTTTCAGAAACGACCTGGCCACCAATGATAGCTCGACGAAGTATTTATTGCGGCCAAATACTAAAAAAAAAAAATGTTTTCAAATGGTGAGGGGAAAACACCGGAGGACCTGGTGAAAAATCCACACGACCACGGTGAGAACGTGCACATGGGCAGGCCACGTGATGGAGAGCGGGCAGGCCACGTCATGGAGAGTGGGCAGGCCACGTCATGGAGAGTGGGCAGGCCACGTGATGGAGAGTGGGTAGGCCACGTCATGGAGAGTGGGCAGGCCACGTCATGGAGAGCGGGCAGAGTGGGCAGGCCACGTCATGGAGAGTGGGCAGGCCACGTCATGGAGAGCGGGCAGGCCACGTGATGGAGAGCAAACCGACGAAAGGTGAGAGGCGATGTTACCTGTGGAGCGGAGACCAAAACGGAGTAAGAGGGCACTAGAGAAAGCAGCAGCAGCAAGATGACGTCGCAGAGTTCGGAAGCCACGACTGGACAGGAGAGCAACCACAGCAGAGTTCTGTGGCCAGCAGTGGGAAGTTCACGGCTGAGAAGAACAGCAACTTGTTTACGCCCACGACCCAGTGGCGTCGTGCGGTTGGCATGGACCCCGGTGAAATTTAATTGGTGCCCCCTCCCCAACCCTCCGACACCCCCACCTCTCTCTATGCAAGCACCTTCGGCCCATGGGCCACCGTGCAGCAGCTGCACTGCCCGCACACTCGGAAGCGATGCCACCAACCGGCGCAGAATCCACCGCACTTGGGCGAAGGAGGTACAGTGAGGGAAAAAAGTATTTGATCCCCTGCTGATTTTGTACGTTTGCCCACTGACAAAGAAATGATCAGTCTATAATTTTAATGGTAGGTTTATTTGAACAGTGAGAGACAGAATAACAACAACAAAATCCAGAAAAACGCATGTCAAAAATGTTATAAATTGATTTGCATTTTAATAAGGGAAATAAGTATTTAACCCCCTCTCATGACTTAGTACTTGGTGGCAAAACCCTTGTTGGCAATCACAGAGGTCAGACGTTTCTTGTAGTTGGCCACCAAGTTTGCACACATCTCAGGAGGGATTTTGTCCCACTCCTCTTTGCAGATCTTCTCCAAGTCATTAAGGTTTCGAGGCTGACGTTTGGCAACTCGAACCTTCAGCTCCCACCACAGATTTTCTATGGGATTAAGGTCTAGAGACTGGCTAGGCCACTCCAGGACCTTAATGTGCTTCTTCTTGAGCCACTCCTTTGTTGCCTTGGCCGTGTGTTTTGGGCCATTGTCATGCTGGAATACCCATCCACGACCCATTTTTAATGCCCTGGCTGAGGGAAGGAGGTTCTCACCCAAGATTTGACGGTACATGGCCCTGTCCATCGTCCCTTTGTTGCGGTGAAGTTGTCCTGTCCCCTTAGCAGAAAAACACCCCCAAAGCATAATGTTTCCACCTCCATGTTTGACGGTGGGGATGGTGTTCTTGGGGTCATAGGCAGCATTCCTCCTCCTCCAAACACGGCGAGTTGAGTTGATGCCAAAGAGCTCCATTTTGGTCTCATCTGACCACAACACTTTCACCCAGTTGTCCTCTGAATCATTCAGATGTTCATTGGCAAACTTCAGACGGGCATGTATATGTGCTTTCTTGAGCACGGGGACCTTGCAGGAGCTGCAGGATTTCAATCCTTCACGGCATAGTGTGTTACCAATTGTTTTCTTGGTGACTATGGTCCCAGCTGCCTTGAGATCATTGACAAGATCCTCCCGTGTAGTTCTGGGCTGATTCCTCACCATTCTCATGATCATTCGAACTCCACGAGGTGAGATCATGCATGGAGCCCCAGGCCAAGGGAGGTTGACAGTTCTCTTGTGTTTCTTCCATTTGCGAATAATCGCACCAACTGTTGTCACCTTCTCACCAAGCAGCTTGGCAATGGTCTTGTAGCCCATTCCAGCCTTGTGTAGGTCTACAATCTTGTCCCTGACATCCTTGGAGAGCTCTTTGGTCTTGGCCATGGTGGAGAGTTTGGAATATGATTGATTGATTGCTTCTGTGGACAGGTGCCTTTTATACAGGTAACAAGCTGAGATTAGGAGCACTCCCTTTAAGAGTGTGCTCCTAATGTCAGCTCGTTACCTGTATAAAAGACACCTGGGAGCCAGAAATCTTTCTGATTGAGAGGGGGTCAAATACTTATTTCCCTCATTCAAATGCAAATAAATTTATAAAAATTTTGACATGCGTTTTTCTGGATTTTTTGTTGTTGTTATTCTGTCTCACTGTTCAAATAAACCTACCATTAAAATTAAAGACTGATCATTTCTTTGTCAGTGGGCAAACGTACAAAATCAACTACTTTTTTCCCTCACTGTACACAGCCAAGCCACTGAGAAACGAACAATTGTGTGTGTGATGACATCCAATTTGTAGGCCAACACGCGTGAAAGGAGTTTCTAAAAATAACAACAATCATTATTATCATCCCACATACCCTATTCCACCGAGAACAGATTTGGCTGACGTCTATAATTGAGGCATTAAAGTGAGTCACTACCAACTGTGCAAATGGCAGGGCATGCGCTGACATTTCAGCATGGAGCGTAATCATCCACTCAGCCAGGAATTGTTATGATGTTTCAACTTGGCGATGTTTTGCCAACTTCTTTTCATTTTGATTAACACAAATAATAGATCAGAAAAATCCGTTAATCTCTCCAGAATCTTTTTTTTTTAAACCGAGTCTTACCACCACTCTACCTCTCACGCCTCACCAACCAGCACAAACCAGCGTGGTGAAGTATGGTCAAAGAACCCACGTGACCAACACGGTGTGGGGGGGGGGGGCGATCCTCCCGCAGATAACTTGACAAAGAGTTGTAAGATCAGGGGCGGAGCCAGGGGGGGTGACAGGGGTTACATTCTGCGTAAAAGTGTACGACACTCGGTCTGGCGGACTCCGTGCAACTGCATTGTCAGAGTGTGTCGCCAACCGATGGCGTCTAGTTCAACAGCCTGACTCTCTAATCATTCTTGAAATAAAAAATTTGTTTAATGTCACCCCGGCCTGAAATCCTGGCTCCGCCCCTGCGTAAGATTATACAGTTTTGGTTCAGCAGCCTGGACCAGCATTATCTAGATTATTTTAATTAAGCAAGCAATCTGTCTATGGTCTGATTTCATCCAGTCAGGCCTGTTAAACAACCCGTTCAGGCAATTTTTTGCAGATTTTGCATGTTGAAGGATTTTGCATGGAAGGAAACCTGCCAGCATTGAGAAAACGCCACGCGTGTGATTAGTGAACACCTCCCAACCCCAGACGCTCTCAAGTCCTGTACTGACATGTTTGGACAATGAGCATTATTTGGCGTTTGGTATGCCAGAGGAAATCATCGTACTCAGAGGAAACCCACCAATGTATTCCTGGGGTATAACATCCGCACCTCCAATTAACACGGTTTGGCTACGTATGGTGCGAAAGAAGGTGACCGTACGTACATCTCTGCACGTAATAATTAAATCATCTATGGCTGTGGCTGCCATTTTGCCACCCAACAGATCTCATCTAATACAGAACTGGGATTTGGATTTAAGAAATTCTATACTACATTTGCAAATCGGTCAATGTTTTACTGTGTGCGAAGTGGCCAGGAAAAGACAGTACTGTACAACAATGGGGGAGTGCAGGGAATTGAACACACAACGTAAGATAACAAATTATACACGACAACAATGTCAAAATGTTCAAGTGATTCATCTAGTTAATCACACAAGTCCATGTAAGGGAGAATATACTAAGTGCCAGCTAGATGCCAAATTATGCCAAGTTCCTGACGCGTCATGGATGAAGGAGCATCCTCCAAATCCGGCATTAAGTCTTGAACAGAAGTTAGAACGAGAAACTTAGAGGTGCTCAAAGACAACAAATGGGAAGTTCCACAAACTCAGGGGTACATTGCACGCGTTTTAAAGATGTGGATTATCCGTATGATCGTTCAGTGGCCATATATGTGTGTGTGTACTATGTCAACCAATGAAAACTCACACTAAATTAAAAAACAAATCTGTCCACCTTTCCAGATAAATGAGGAATGTTAATAAAATACCACAGTGTCAGACATGGACACGTTGGGATGGCGATGGGTGCATTTATGTTTATGTAGAGATCAATTCATTGATTCAGTCCAGATTGTAGGCAACATTTTCTAAAACCGTTTATTATAATGACACCCCATTTGTGTTATTAGGACAATATGAATATTCTGACCATCGCCTAATTTGTGCAATTGTAATATCAACTTGCAGAGCAGCCAGAATTCACTCTCGATGAGACGACGACTCAGGAGGCACGAGAAGCCACAGACGAACTCGGAACGAAGCGTTGAGCCAGCACCAACAATTGCCCAAGCTTTGCAGTCCTGTGTATATATTAAAGTGCTATCGGCCCAATTATGAGCATACGGTATACATGCGAGAGGAAACCGAAGCACCTGGAGAAACCCACGCGTTCAAAGAGGCAACACACTCTAATCCCATCGAGACGGAGCAGGTGGAGTCGAGATTTTTTTGCCGTGCCAACTTCTCCTGGCAAGTCATGGCCATGGCACTTCCTCAGCCTTCGCGGGAAGAGTTGTTTCGCAAACATCGGTGCGGTGATCCACCAATCCTCGCTGCAGTCCTCCACAGTGCTGGATTACACAGGTCACGTGGGAAGCCACCAGCGCCAGGGCTCAACTCCCCGGCGTGGATGAATGAAAGCATCGACAAACAACAACAACAAGGAGAGCGAGACGACAACTCGACGACTGTTGCGAGCAGGATTAAGGAGGTCATTCTGAAATTCTGGTCTCTTTTTTGATGGTCGCCTAATTGTGCGGCGACTGTCCGGATGGGAGGAGTTCAATGATGAACAAAAGCACACACAGACACACACACACCGTCAACGACACCACACAACCGACAACAACAACAAACTCCTTACCGACTGTCGTGAGTACGGTACTGGCGAAGAACAGTGCAGACACGAAGTCCCAGTGGGGGCCGGCCGTGGCGTTGCGCAGCGCCGAAACGCCGTGCGTCCTGGCCTCGAGGGCGTCTCGCAGGAACCCCTCGAGCGCCTCGTCGCTCAGGCACGCGTGCTGCCGCACGAACGCGTCCCGAAGCCTCCTCACGTCCATCCGGAGGCGCTCCTCGTACGGCCGCTCCAGGGTGGAGAAGACGATGGCTCCCAGCACGAGGTACAAAGCATAGGTGGCTAGCAAAGCGAGGAAGCACGTCAACGACCTCGAAGCCATCGTGTGAGCCGAGACGGGGGTTTGTTGTTGTTGTTTTCCGATAGCAGCAAGTCCACCCAAGCCACCCTGCAGATATTTGCTGTCACTGTGGCACTAAAATTTTCGCAGCCCGCTCTCTCGCCCTCTCTCTCTCCACGTCTACTGCAGTGTCGTGCGGTGTAGGTGTTCTACCGTGTGCGAATATATAAAGGTTGGCAAGCCTGGTGTGTTGTTATATTAGTCCGTCAGGTTACAGAATCCCACGGAATTAAAATAACGATTTGTCGTTGTTGATAAACGCGCAAGTTTGGCGGCCGAGTCACGCACGGTCATTGTGTCATCACGAAGACGCGGCACCGCTACACTCGCACCCTGTGCGTCTCCGTGTGACCTATCGCCGCCTGCGACTGCACTCGTACAAGTCGCTAGAGGCGGGCGGGATTTAAATCCCCCTCGGCTTGCCAGTAGCGTGTAACGTTGCGCGCGTCAACTTGCCGAAATGTTCGCCGACGATCTGAACGCGAAGCGTGTCGAGCCCAACATCTTTCTGGGGCGGTTTTAATCGAGTGCCGGCGACCCCTCGTTGGTGAAAGTCATAGTTTGGAGCGACCTTGCCCTGGGCATCCAGAGAGAGAGAGAGCGAGAGAGAGCGAGAGAGAGCGAGCGAGCGAGAGCCAGAATGGCAGTTTTGAAATATCAAATGTGCACGTTGTTTATGTATTTATTAGAGCCGAACAATCGCACGGAATCGATCTCGCCGCTGTCTCCCCGTGTTGGCCACACGTCTCTTTGACACGCGATTGCGAAAAAAAAATTCCCACCTCGCAAATCAACAATGGGGGAAGGAAGCCCTTTGAAGGGAGGAGGAGTCAAGGAAATAACCACACCCGCCGCCTGGCCATGTCGCCACTGATTTACTGGTGATGCCGAACGGCACGTAAACAATTACGTCTCATCATCGGCAGGAGCGGTCGTGGGTTCGCCACTGCTGGATGAAGCCCTCACCCCGCCCTCCGCTTCCCCTCCACCACCAAGCTTTCGCCATCTCTCACGATTCTGCGATTTCATAATCCACCTAGCATCTTCTTAGCATCATTAGCACCATCTCACCATCCTGAGATTTAATAATCCACCTATTATCATTATCATCATGTCATGATTCTGGGATTTATTAATCCACCATAGCATCATCTCACCCGACCTCGCGAATGTAATGCGGTAATCCACCGTGCAACATCTGCACACGAGCTGATTCCAATCGCGTTCCGTGATTATAATAATTATACACGTAAAAACACAACATTACATTACAAGTAGTACACCAATTAAGGGGTGAACTGTCGTGTGCGTTCGTTTGTCGTGAGTTGGATTCTCAGGTGCGTGCTCAAAGTGGAAGGGATATACAGTACGCTATTGAATAAAAACAATAATTAATTAATAATGAATCGTTGGCAACATCCTGTGTGTGTGGCATACACTATCCCCGGTAGGCTTACCGTACATGTAATTAGCATTAATTACACCGATATGTTAATGTTTACATACTGTACTGAATGTGTATATTCTCTGGTAGGGGGAGACGCGGTGGCGCAGTGGTTAACGCACTGCGCTGTTAAGCCGGCCACCTGAGTTCAATTCCCCGGCCACGGCCAACATCGGTGACAACCGACGTGAGCACGGCGCTTGTGCCAGGCTAGGTGCACCACTTTAAGGCCACGTGAAGTGTCGAACGCCCGCTGGCAGGAGGTCACGGGTCAAACCCAGGTGGTGCCATGGGTTGACTGACTGAGATAAGCGGCCGATGCACCGCCCGTGCCACCTCCAATGCCAACTTGCTGTGTTTTATCCGCCCGGCGCTCCGCTCGTTGTTGTGAGCGTCGCTCCTCTGCTCTCCGTTGTTGCTCGAAGGCTTCCAACTGCCCAGCCAATCCCCCCCACAACCTCCCCCGCCTCTACCAACCCGCACTGACCAGAGTGGTGAAGTATGGCCAAACAACTGCCGTGATCGACACGGCGTGGAGGAAGATGTGTACATTACAGTTGTATTCATTTGCGTACAAGTAAATTCAGTCAGCATATATCAGTGCATGTACAATGTCAGTACCGTGTCACACATTCAGTGTAATGATTGCACATTATATCTTGCTTAACGGATTATAAGACTGTCTGGCAGTAAGACGCACCACAGACGTGTGGCTGGTGTCACTAAAGTTATTCAGATCTAATCTCACACCCACACACACGCACATGCCGGACTATAAGACGCAACCTGCAACTACGCATTGCTCTTAGAAACACAGAGTGGAATCTGTGCGTCTTGCAATCGAGAGAATACGGTAAACGCTACTTTAAATATCTGCGTGCGGACGCTTATCTCTGTGTTGAGAATGCATACCAATTGGGGCTTTGATGCCTTAATTGGGAAGGTGCGATGACAATTCATACAAACGCCCCACCCACTCCCCTTGTATTAGCATGACCACACACATACGAGTGCGTGTGTGTGTGTTAGAACGGTACACGCGTGTAAGCTATTCTTGTACACGCCACGTGATATACATTCACATCACATCCTAAAATGGGACCTGAACCGATCAGTTCTGTCCATTGCGAGTGTGTTGAACCGCAAAAGGTTCATAAAGAGAGATGGGGAAGGGTTTTTACGATGATGATGATTGTGGGGGTAAGATTTGCGTTACTAATTTAGCAATCCTGCCCGGAGGGATGCGATCGTTTAATGGCATTACAGGTGGCTGGGTGGACCCACTATGTGACACGGTTATTGTTCCTGGGTAGGAAGTGTTATATATTGTATTGCTTATGCCTAATTTTTTTAATGGCTATTATTCCCCATAAACTTTGCTTTTGTGACCAGGACTCTATGTGAACGAAAGACACAAATGCACACTAAGTTTTATCATTGAAAATAGGTAAATTTCAAAATATCAATGTCCTGGTCACAAAAGCAAAGTTTGTGGGGAATAATAGCCATTTTCTGTACTTTTGAGGCATAAGCAATTAGGAAATAACACTTACTACCCAGGAACAATTTTTTTACACTTATTATTCCATCGCAGCGTCGTGAGAGGCGGCGGCGTCTGCTTCGGGAGGCCTTCATCCAGCAGTGGATTGACCATGGGCTGATTATGAAGATATTAGAAGGGCGGCCGAGCCTCCAGAAGAATTGGGACGTTTCGTCCCCTTTCGTGTCTGACATCGCGATAATCGTCGCGATATCGTGCACCACTATACATCTTGAAATGTAATATCGCGCTCTCGTCCGGTAAAATGAAAAACAAAATAACGGATCGGTTTGCTGTCTTCTCCACACAGATCCATTCAAAGCTGTGGGCAGTTTGTGGGTGCCGTCTGTGTGCGCTGTAATGGCCCTCTGCTGACTATTGCTCTTATTGTTATACTGCATCGGCTTGCACACAAACGTCGGTCCGTGGCATGACCCGGGTATATTGATGATCACTGAGCCAACGCATGGGCATGTCTCTGGCACAGTATGTATGTTGAACTTCTTTCACACCGTACGTAGCCGATCGTGACAATTTGGAGGTGCTGATGGCACTTACTGTGGATTACATTTCAGTCGTGTTGCTTGCTTTGTCCCCACGGAAATTACGTCTGGCCAATCTCAAAAGTTAACGACATTAAGGGTTTTAATCGGCATTTCGGCTGGAATAATGTGCGCATAATTTCATGACAGAGACAACGACTAGGGAAACGGTGTCTCCGTAGGAATGCGGTTCAACTGGTTTCATCGATCCATCTCCTTCGGCGGTGGTCCTTATGGGCATGTTTCCCTCTATTGGCTGCCGTTAAGTCACCAGTCTCGTCCATCGCCATCAACCCTTCATGGTGCACGCCACCCAAATTGCCAAGTTACAGTCGTGCGCAGGCACTCCCCAGCTAAAGACACTGGCAGACAGCTGAAACAAACAAATATATAAGCTGACGTTTTAAGCAATGGTCTTTATTGGCAGAGCAGAGGCGCCTAAACTGGGAATTGACAACGTGATTTTTTTGACAGTTTATTCTCGAATAACATAACATCGATTTGACCACAAGTGGTGGCACACCTATGCATACAGACCCTGCCCCAGGCCGTTGATTTTGAACTCGTCCACGTAGATTGGGCGTCCGTCGCATCGGCGGTGACAAGAGTTAGGATGTGTCACGTGCGTGGCGCCAGTGCGAGGCCAGCGTGATCCTGTGGAGACGCGCACAGAGAGAGGAGACCCGTAGCCTCGCGCAGAGACCCATAGACTCTCATAGAGTTCCATAGATTCACGTAAGAGTTCCATAGCGTCAAACGCACAGAGCCCCATAGACTCGCATAGAGATCCATAGATTCACCCATAGAGTCACATAGAGGTCCATAGACTCATATTCTCACATAGAGTTACATCGAAGCACATAGAGACCCAGAGTGGGAGGCTAGCCCGACTCGATGAAGCAGGCCTTTTCCCGCAGACGTCACAGGTGATGGCAGGAAGGCGATTCGTGATCAGGCTTCGGGTGGACGACGCCCCACTGAGGACTCGGTGTCTCTCCACCCTCGTCTCCTCGATTTGCTCCATGCCTCGGAAACTCCTCCGTTGTGAGCGATCACGAACTACCTCCTCCCATTCGTCGACGGAGATACCGGAAGCATTCAGACGCCGCTAGAGCAAATCCTTAAACCGCAGGCACTGTCCTCCTCAGCTGTGTGAGCAGGACATCATTTCTAACTCGATACTTTCTGCAATGCTGTTGGCCTGGCTCGGAGTAGGGATTACTGGCGTAAGGCACTACAACTCGAGTACAAGGTATGCCTATCCATGATAATCCTACATTGTACCCAATATCCATATACTCATATGATGAGGTGTACACGAATATAGGGCACAATGAGGACAAAGTCAAGCGAGATGGATGTGGAGTGCTAACATCATTCCCAGAACAGTGCTCTGGACTTGATTTGAAGCACTGCCCAAAAGGGCCATGCCGAGAACTTGAACAGCATTCGGATGATATGCTCGGGACATGCAGAGACAGTGCGTTTTACATCGATAAATAATAATGATTTATTTGTATCTGAAAATGCTGTAGCAGAATTTGTAGAGCGCACAGTTTTGGCACGGAGTTGCGAGGGGAAACTATGGACAAACCGGAGGGCAGCCAGAACCGATGCCAACAATTGCCCAAGCGATGTGGTCCTCTATTGGAATGTTTGGCTAACTCTGTAAATAATAACCATGCAATAGTTGCAGTGAAAATTCACTCCAAAGTGGCGTGCAAATGGAATCAGTCATGTCCAGCATTTATGCTAAATAAATTGTTATAAATTAATTAATTGGCATTTATTAAAAATTTGCAGGAGTAATGGCAACATTTACATTTCATCTGAATTACACAACCTAAAGCCAGGCTCTGCATATGTGGGGCATAGCAATTCCTTTTTTTTAATCTAAAATACAGATGCAGTTCCCTTATGTAAAAATGTGTTCCGTGACGTGGTAAAAAGATAGCAGTGCAGAAATGAATTCTTAAATCCATCTGTGCAGGACGTTGAGTATTAGCCAATCGTATGTGCGGCCTTGGGGCTGGTCATCTACGTAAAAAAATATCTGCTTAGTTCAATGGGCCTTACCAGCTGAAATAAAGTGTTAGTATGCATGGTCGGTGTTCTCTGAGAACACCAATTTCCTCCCATACAAAGTCAAACACTCGTTCATATCAAAATGCAGCAGGACCCTACTGAAGATCTAAATTGACAGCCAGTGAGGCTCCCCTGGGTGAATAAAGATACTTTTGGATCTTCAAAGTATTTACCTATGCATCCCATCGCGTTTGTTCTCTGACAATGCACAAAGTTGGAATAAGTAGAGTGTCCTCTTCCCACACACATGTGGGGTTTTTTGTTCCCATGCACTGCTAGATTTCCTACAACATGTCAAACAATAATAATCTATAACTATAAACTTGAATCGGTTGTATAACAAGCCTGGCTCAGGAT